GCACTACAGTAGATTTATCTCCATGTAACTGTCTGTTTTTCAATGTAAAAAAAAAAAGATGAGTTATTAAAGATGAGAGTTATTTACATATCTGTTAAATCAGAAACAAGTCAAACGTTACTCTTCATGGATGCTAGAGTTGAGAATTACAGTTCAGGATGCTAATATTTCAAGGTTCAACTTGCTAATAGTACCTTCAATGAAGCATACAACAGTCTAGTTTTGCAGATGTTTATAATTTAATTTCCTGCAATTTCCTGAGGAGCTCAATAAATAATGAGAAGCTTAGTTGCTCACTTGGCTCTCATTTGAAATCTTTGAAAAATCCTTTGAAAACATGATTATTCCTTCTAACTCTCATTCTTTTGTTACTACCTGTGAGACTTTAAAGATAGAAAAAAATGTATGTGATTTCCATCAAAGAATCTTTCATTGATAAAGAATTTCTAAGATATCCTTAAAAATTGCTCTAGAAATCCTCATGAAAAAATGAAAAGCTAGGAGGAATTTGTGTCTAAACTTTCCCACCAATTTCCTTTGATGGAAGGTCTGTATTTTCTTAATTATCACCAATACTATTAATCAATGATTTTTCTTTCTGTGGCCATGTCTTTAATTTGCCACATGATGGCCTCATTTGTTCAGACAGTAGCTAAATTAATCTGCATTTTCCTTGAGAAATTTCTTTCTCTTTTCCTCTTTATGTATATCTTGTTCAACTCATTACATGCAGTGTTCTGTCTAATCCAATCTCATGAGCTTTTGGTTACTGTCCAGGATGCCCACTCTCTTTTCTGCCCAAGGGAATAGTATCATTTTGCAATCCTGACAGCATTGCTACCATGTCTACTAAAATCAGAGTTCTGAAGACCTACACTAAGGCAGTAAATACTAACTGCTCTTCCCAGCTTGTGCTATGTTAAGCAGTCGTACTGGAGGCAATCAATGATGGTAGATAATGTTTATCTTAGCATTTAAATCAAAGGACTTTCATTTATTTCTTTCTAATTTAATCTTATTTATCACAAAATATATTAAGATAAAGGAGAAGGTTAAAGAAGTGTCTTCTCATGTATTAAAAATATTTATGAGTATTACAAGAGCAAAGAGGTTTTCATTTAGTCTGGGTAATTTGATTCCAGATACAGAGTTTGACTGCCATTTTCCTGAGTGAATGACTTCTTTCAGAGGTATTATGTTCAACACCACTATGATTCTACAGTGAATTTCAAGTAGCTATTATTTTTAAAGAACAGATATAGAAATTTACAAAATATGCCATTAAAATGCTACGGTTATGTTAAAGGGAAACTTTTTGCCTACAAGACAACAGGCATTTTACCATTGACATCAGTATTTTATACTACGTGAATTTAATATATCCTGCTAGTAGAAGATAAAAAGCATTACATAATTGTTTGATTTTGTGGCTGTGGACAGGAGATATAATGCTTGGTTCAACTTGATATACCACAGACTTTAAAACAGATGGAAAATACACTTCTAAAATAGTAAAATTGAGAATAATAATAAACTTGAAAGAATTTAATGATATAATTGGTAGAACTGGCTGCAGTGAGGATACAAAGATGGTTTATCACTCTACATTGAGGAAAAATCTGTTTCTAGGATGAGATTGCTTCAGAAGAAAAAAAGTCTGGTTAGTGTATTCATGAGTATCATAAAGGAAAACTGTTCTGAGAATATTATTTAATCTAAAAAAATTTAATATAACTACACAATTTAAAACATTCAGCTCCCAGATGTAGAGGAAATGTACATCAGTTCAGTCAGTTTGGTGCTTGAGAAACAAAACCAGACTTAATATTTCTGAGAATCCTCATGGAGCACTAATGCAGCCTTCTCTGGCTGCTCCTATTCATCCAGCTTTAGGAGTTTATGTGTGTGTAGCTGCTTGTGCAGTTGAGCACTGGCCATGACCACAGTTCTTGTACTATCACCTACAAATTTCAAAATAGCAGTTGCAGTCCACCCACCAATAACTCTATCTGTCTCCTTCTTGTGGATAGACCAAACCCCACTTTTAAGTGTTTGTCTGAGGATTCTCATATCATGTCTAAAATTAAAGCATCAGAATATTCGTGCAAATAAAAGGAACTTCAATCTCAGGTTAAGTCAACAAAAGTTTTGGACTACCTTTTCCATCCACAGATTTCGTTTCTAAATACAATAAGCATGTTTCAAATACCCACGTGTCAGTAAGAAATATTACACCTGGATCAGGGGGAATCATTTCAACATTTTCAAGTGGGTTTGCCTACTGGTTTCAGTTTCAGAGATGATAAATAACTGAGAAACTGGCCAATTACTTGGATTCCAGCCTACAGTTTGAGGTTACATATTTTAGGCATCTGACTATAATTTTTTATCCATTTACCATTACACACAGTAAGTCATTATATCTGTCATCTTAAAAAGTCTGTATTAGGGAATTCACATATTAAACAGATATTTGAACACTGTGATATAAATTTTTTCTCAAATTATATGTTTTCTATATTTGTAGAGGTAGCTATGTTATACTATTTGGTCATAACAAATTCCTTAGCTTTACCTTATTATCTTAATTGCATTTGACTTAGAAAATCCATTTTTTATTGCACAGCTGTTCATCAGCTGTACCTATCTGAAAACTGATGTGGACTTTTGTTCCTAAGTTTCATCAGGAAGAAGGATCAAATGAGCTGGTGGCTAATTCCTCCAAATAAATTCCAGATTGTCAAACTGATTATGATTCCTTAAATTATAATAGAATATATATGTAGGATGTCCATGCCAGAGAACAGCTGACTTAAAATAATTCTCAACGACACGCCAGTGAACTTCTCATTGTGGGTGACAGCATATGTCCACACACATTACTCTTCTCTGTTGTATCCAGTAACAGAATAAGAAATGGTGGGTTAAATGCCACCTGAACATGAATAAAGAGTCTATTATTGCAGGAGTGGTTCAACACTGGAACAGGTTGCTTAGAGATGTTGAGAGTCTACATTTAGATATTCAAAACTAGCCTAGACACAGCCCTGAGCAACCTGTTCTAGCTGACCTGCCTTGAGCTGGTGTTTGGACTAGATGATCTCCAGAGTTGCCTGCCAACCTCAGCCATTCCGTGATTCTGTGCAGGAAAAGTTATGGTCAACCATGTGTGTCCAACCAATTAAACAGATCCACTCCATATGGTGACTTCCAATATGTCAAAACCATTCAATATATCACAAGATGTATTAAGAAGAAAAGAGTCATAAAAATAACATTGAAAAATAACATATTGAAAATAACTTTCTAAACTTTTGTCCAAAGAGTACATAAAAGCATCCCGCACCTCAAAGGTGACTGGAATATGACAAAATGAATGTTTTAGAAATACTTTATGGCCTCTGTTTTCATCCCCACTTTTGAATGAAAGCCTGAGATAAGGAATCAGCCTTGGGTTGTGTCTCCCCAAGTAGAGAGAGGGGGATTTTGTCACTTTTACCAACAAGCCATCACTTCTAACAGAACATTGTTTTGACAGCAGGACAGAAAGCCATGCCTTTACTCAGTGAAAGCCAGGGACTGAGAAACCTTTGTGTTAGGAATCACAGACAGTTGTTTACAGGATGGCTGTCAGAAGCTGAAAATTGGATGCTCAGGTACTTGCGTGATTGTTTCTCTCTCCTCTTCTGCCTCTCCTGATGAGACAGGAGCTGCAGCAGCTCACCCCTTCCCCTCTGTCACCTTCTCCTGCCACTGCATTGCTGTAAGGCCCTCAAAGGCCACCCACTTATAATGAAAGGAAAACACTGAGTTCTCCAAGTTCCTAAGAGCTCTCACATCACCAAACCTCATTCTAACTGTTCATTTTTATTTTTTTTTAATCTTGCTATCCCTTCTCAACCAACGTTATCAAACCCTGAAAAAACACCACTGATCTTTATAAACACAACAATCCATAAAACTTTGAGGTATGCTAATTGAAGAGAAGAAACATTGCCTAGCTTAAATCCTATTATAAAACTTATGTGCATTATCTGTTACCTAATATAAGAGTAGGCCTAAAGAGTCTTTATGAACATTTGTCATTAAGGAAACTATATGATATTCTGAAAATGAACTCCATCTTCTGGGCACAAAATATCCAAAAGGGACCATACTGATTCCTGTTCAGTTTGATCATGGATGACTGAACAGTGATAACAAGAGCACCTTCCCTTGAACAACTTATGATGGGTTCACGGCCTGGTGTGATGGTCTAGTCCAAGAAACGGTGTTTTTTCAGTCATCCTGATTTCTTGAGATCTTCACAAGGAATGATTAAAATATGAACAAAGAGACTTCCTTTAAGAGGAGTTAGGAAAAGACTTCTCAGATGTTTTCAAGAGTGACAACGATAATACAGGATCTTCAAAACTATTCACTGCTGATCACTCTTTCTGGAAGCAGAGTGTGCACACAGTCCTTCGCAGACCTAGCAGGCTTCAAGGCCACTGCAAAAGGCTGGCATGCACCAGTTTTGAAAGTTTTTCTTCATTAGAGTTTTACGTAAATTGAGCAAAGTCCAACCTTACTGCTCGGTCCCAGCCAATCTAGTCCTACTGACTGCTGAATAACCTTTCAGAACAGGTGAAAAAAGATTAAGATCACACCTTCCCACCCTGGGTAAGTCAGCACATTTATTTTGTCTGAGACAGATTATCAATGTTCAATTGTGAATATTAAAAACCCAGCAAAAATTCCCAGTGAAATTTTATTCTACTTTAAAATACATTTTACTGTTTATTTTGTACTAATTAAACTGCAGAAATTTGCATGCTTTGAAATGACATATTACCAAGGGTTATACAGAGGACACCACTGTGGGTCCTGCTTAAAAACTGAAGACAATCTGGATTCAAACAGCACATCAGGATATAGGTTTTCAGATTATTAGCTTTGCATTCTCTCAGTTAAATATTACTGGTAGTTTTTCCTGAAGTACTCTGTTTCTCTAACAGATTAAAATGCATTCTGAAGATGAAACAAAGTCTTACAGAAATAGAAAGGATGATAATATTGCTGCATCATATCAGGATTATGGATCTGAAGGCAAATGGTAAGTATAGCAGTTGATTTCAAAATATTCTCCACAATAGGTTGGACCAGATGATCTTTGGAGGTCCCTTCCAACCTGGGCTATTCTGTGATTCTATTCTACTAATGTTTTACCTTTAACTGCATAGGCTTAAACTTTAATGGTAAACAATATAAAAATAATCACACAGTTTTCCTTTGCTGGAAAAGTCTTTGATATCCATTATTATCTTCAGACAATATAGACAAACACAGATATAAAAATTTATCAGTATCTGTATCTAAATATGGATAAACAAATCTAAATATAGATAAATTGTTAACAAATAAATCCAGTTGAACCCCACAGGTCAGAGGAAGCCTGTCTGAGGAGCAGAAAGCTTTGTTTGTACCTTGATGCTATGATTGTGAATTTCCATTGGGGTTACTGAAAATTTGGCTCCTTCATTCATTCTTTTGCAAAAAGATAGTGACAGCTGTACCTATCCTATTTTGTTAAAAGGCTGATACAAACTACTTGGAGAATCGAAGTCAGAATAGTTAAGGGACAGCTAAATTACATGCTTCTCCAAGTTCTCTGAAAGTAGTGGAATTTTTTACTAGAGCGGAGGGCCAATTGGGGTCAGATGTCCTACACACTCTCCTCTCTACCCCATTCCTGTTTCAAAAAAAGAAATGGGTCACAATGGAATATAGATTCCATGATTTTAAAACCTGCATAATATTGTAATGCGCTGTTTCCTGTGTTACGCAGTAAAAGACACTTAATCCCCATATTCCTTATGAGGGTGGTCTTAGAAAGATTGAGTGGGAATTCCAGGATCCAGAATCTGACCTCTGTGCATGACAGAAGTGGAAACAGTGACTCATCCCAGTTAGGATTAACTAGAGTTTATGAAATTGTTGCCTGGCACAGTGCTTCATATCCTTTAAAATAACTTGTGCCAGTGACAACAAGAGAAAGACTAGTATTTGATCCGACACTGAACTTTTTAGAGCTGAGAGAAACCCCATTGCAAAACAGTGGAAAGAGTTTGACATTTTACCTACATCTTTAACTGGATGGGCTTAGTTTTAACTGGACAACACAGGCTATTTGGAGGGAAAATTCAGTTTATTCAGATAACAACTTTCTCATGACTCCTTTCATGGTTTATAGGTCAAGGACACCTATTAAAGCTCATCTTCATCCTTTTTCATGCTAAAAAGGAGATACTTAATTCTAATTTAGACAAAAAGTCTTAAAACTTTAAGAAATTGTCCTGAATTTGTCCATGGAGGGAAGTATGGTAATTTATCATTTTAGAGTTCATCAACTTTCAGATTCTGACATGTCAGAATAAAGTTTACTACTACCACTGTTAGTTTTACTGTACCAAAAAGCTGTAAAAATGTCAAGTAAAAATAAAATATCTCATGTTTTCTCTTAATTTATTTTAAAAACCCACCTACAACCCTCTGGAAATGAGGTAGACTTTTATAACATTCTCAGATCTTGGCATATTTTGGAAGAAGCCAAATAAATAAAAAATTCTATAATATTTTAAAGTATCCAGTGAAAGTCCGATGCACAACTGATTGAACAAGATGTCTATTTTTTTGAAGATTACACTGCTGATTTTACTGAACATGTTGCCTTCCAGTCTTTGCTGGGAGTGCCCAAAGTAGAGAAATACAGTTCAGTCCCAGACTGGCAACTATGTGCAGAACAGTTTATTTTATCTCTGTCTAGACAAAGACTGATTATTGTCACTTTTCAATATAAAACTGGTACAGCTCATAATGGCAATATAATGAATATAGGTTTAATACCAAAAAACACCAACATTTTCACTATAATAGCGTCACCTAAAAATTAGTGATTTACCTAACATTTTTTCAAGTGGAAACACTCAGTGTGAACCTTTTGAATTTTTCAAGTGGAAACACTCAGTGTGAACCTTTTGAATTTTTCAAGTGGAAGCAAAACTCCTACATCATTTTAACACTCTCTAGTTGACACAGATCATCTTCCAGCCCCATAAACCACGTTAATAACTCACAGGGTATCTTGTGATAGGACAGGGCATTGCCCGGCAAACTCACTGTGATTTTTCTGAAATTCTGCCTGTTCATGTCTTCTTTCTGGTACAAGCCTTCTGACCCTCACAAAGCATTCTTTCCACCACCACCTTCACCTTCTCCAAGTTTGTTTCATTTTCTCCTCTTTGCAGTCCACTTCTCATTAAAATAGATTAGTTTCTTCCAAGTCCAGTCCTGTAAATTGAATCTTATGATTAGAAGGACCAGTCTATCCAACCACAGTCTAATGATCTGAAATCAAAGTACTTAGATATGAGAGGTCTTTGACAGACAATTGGCAGTATTGTTAGATTAGCTCACCCACCTGGGTAGCCAATAGCTGCCACTAGGCCCTAACCTAGGCTAGAAAGGCTGAACAGACAGCTTTAATTATCAAAGAACCTCCCACCCTCTTCTTTAAGAAAAGAAAGTGAAATGTAGCTAGGAAGACACTAGCAAAGTTTGCAAGAGGACTTTTCTACGTTATCAAAGTCCCACTGTAGATCTAGCTAAAGCCATTCTTAACACTTTTTCATAGGCACTGTAATTTTAAATGAGTCTTACTTAAGTAGCTTGTAACCTACAGCTGAACTGAATGAGATTTTTCCCAAATAGATTCTGTATTAACACAATACCAAACCAGAAGACTTCTTGAAATATTTTTGACAGTGTTCAAAGAAATACTCTGAGATTACATTGAAAGTTCTTATTTTAAATTCCTGTATCTCCTCCTTGCAACTGAACACAATTAAGAGACAGTACTTGTATTAATAATGCACTAGGCTTGCTTTATGCTTTAAGTGCTCTTCCTACTTAAAATACAATCATTTTTTTTTAGCAGTGGGAACAAGAAGAAACCTGAGAAACTGAATATGATCAGCCTGTTTACAGTGGTATGTTTAATGATGTTTGCGTGTTTAGCAATCCCAGTCTACCATAATGTTCAAAATTTATTATTTTAATATATGTGGATGTGCTCATGTTGCAGAGCTATACTAGAGGCACTTCACTGTTAACAGTATAGAGTACTCGGAGATCTGCAATGAGAAGGGAAAACGGAGGAGGAAGGAAAGAAAAGGCAGACACAGGCGATGAAGTAAACTAGCTTAAACCCAGTCAATGCTGGAGATTTTTACTGTCACTGTTACGTCAAACAGATGTTGAAATATATGTATTAATAGATGGGTGGTGAGGGGGGGTGTAACATGGACCTGAAATGTGTTTGGAGACACAGAAAGAAAAGGAAAATCCACAGCATAAGCATAACATATGCCAGAAAATTTATCTCCCATACTAGTTGTATTTTCATCAGCACCTGGCATAGCTACCTAATGGAATAGTCTTCAAAAGTCATTATCAAAAACAAAGAAAACTTAGTTTCCATTTTCAAGTTATTATTTTGTAATTTATTCTAAATTACAAATACTACACTAATTACTAACTAGTCTCTTCTCTGACACTCTCCCACTCAAACCCATACCCAGAAAACAAGAGAGAGTCACAGCAGATTTTACAATACAATTGTATTCCTTTTTAAACAAGTGATTTGGAAGCACACAGTTTTAATTTTCTTCTTTGATATGCAGGCCATGATATTTTTGCATTTTACATAGTTCAAGTAATCATAGATAAAGAGGATCTCAGGAGATCATCTGGCCAAATGTCTTTCTCAAAGTTAGAGCAGGTTGCTCAGAGCCTTATCCAGGCAAGTCTGGAAAATTTCCAGCAGCTGCAGTTCCACAGACTCTCTAGGCACCCATTCCAGGGCTTGACCACCATGTCTGAGGTTTTCATAACATACCATATGAATTTCTCTTACTACATCTTTAGTTATCTGCCCTCTTGAGGACTTCAAATGAAACTGCACATGAGCTATTTGAAGTAGCTTAGAAAGGAAAGGTTAGGGCAACTTCTGTACTATTTCAGTCTTATTGATAACTGTATTAAGATTTCACAGAGTAATTCAATTTAATTCTTAACGAGTAGCAGACTTAGGATTTATTCACGTTTAAGTGAAGTCTATATCTAACAGGATCTGAGGAAGCTTTAGGAAAAAATTTTGCTTTTATAAGTTAAAAGATTTCCCAATACTCCTAAATACCTGTGAAAACTAATATCCCTTTACCTTCTGAAGGATAATTCCAATATTTGAAACAAAATCTCTTCCTGAAGAGGAAGCAAGAGAAAACCACTACTGCTCAGTATAGGAGAGATGAGCACTAGCATCACACCCTGCATATTCCCGATACTAGAGCTGTGTTCAGTAGAACTCCCATCTTTCTCCCCATTTTCTGAAAACCTACAGGAAACTAGCATTAAAAATTCACACAAAGGAGAAAAGGAAACCACACATTGGAAATTCCTGCTTCTCCACACAGAGGACAAGAAACACTGAACTGCTCTGACTCACCTGAAAGACCAGGGAAACTCTGTTCAAGTAACAGCAACAGCAAAACCTATTTCCTTCAAAGACCACCCATCTAAAGGTGCATTCCATGGACCCCGCCTATACACAAAAAAGCACAGTTTCCTTCATCTAAGGGATTATTTCACAGCCATGCCTTTCAGACTGTCACTACAGGCTCAGAGAGGAAAACTCTTCTTGGTTTGGGTGTCCCTGGTAATCACATCCCCAGCTTGGTCTGACCTATTTTTTGGCAGCAGAGCCAGACACGTCATGAACAAACTCTTGTCTCCCAGGAGTACCCTAGGCTGGCATACTGACACAGGTGCCTCCTAAGAGCCAAGGGATGCTGAACACATCCACTCCATTACACATCTGAAGATACACTTTAACTCAAGGACTCATTATTATGCAGTGAGAAAGATATTTTTACTCTTTTCTCTTCTTCCTTATTTGGAGTATGCAGACAGGAACAACCTGCTCTGACCTGCCTGTTCCTAGGCACTACCCTTCCAGGGCATGAGAGGTGATTTACCATCTCCCCTACAAGGAGGATAAGGTATCTCACAATCACCTGAGAACCTGTTTAGAGGTTTCTATTGGTGCCATGATAGCCCATGGCTCCTACCTCCGTGAAGGTCCAGTAGCTGAACTGAAGAATTTTTTTGTCTTCAGAAAGCTGACCAAAACCCGGAGGGATTATTTTCCATTTGTATACTTCTGTACAATAAAATGCATGATGAGACTTACTCTCCTTAGTGCACAGTTATATTTAGGTTTTTATGACCATTGTTTAATGAGAAGTATTAGTAATGTTAAAATAGAAACAGTAGACAACACTTTTACACAGCTTTAAATATATTGGCCTTGAAACTGATTACAGTAGTACCCACCAACCCAAAGTATGGACCTATCTAAGATACTATAAAAGTAGAGAAACAATTATAGATATTGTATTATTAGATTTTATTTTTTAAATTTCAGCTCTAGTCATCAATTTAAATATCAATTTGACATCATTAAATTGGATGCAAAATTTGTTTAAACGTTTTAAATATTTTATTATAATTCATATTTTATTAAAGCCTTTATTTTGTTCATAAAACAATTATTAAGAATTTACTGGTTTATGTTACAATTTTACCATTTTATGTATTCAGATTTTCTTATTTTACTTTTTACTGCCTCCTTCTGCATTGTTAACACTGTGTTGCTACTCAAATGCAATTGCTGCAACTAGAGAAGTTTTCAGAACAGTCCTGTTTCTGCTTTCAGTTTCGGTACTCTGACTGGCAGGATAAACTCCTCATGGTGGTAGGTACTACAATGGCAATATTCCATGGAGCAGGTCTCCCCCTTATGATGATCATCTTTGGTGACATGACAGATAGCTTTATTACTTCAGAAAATATTACTTATCCAGGTAAGAACTGTTGTAGCTCCTAGTAGGTGTCATTGAAATATGGATTTTATGCAGCAAAAAATTAGTTGTATTTGGAAAAAATAAAGGGTAGAATAGCAGCTCACCTCAAGCTATTGATTCCCAGGGAAGTAGTTTGCTCTTGTGCTGTGGGCCAGATGTCACTGGCCCACTCACTACTGTGAGAAGCAGCAGGGCTTTAATTTTGTCCAGTTCTGTATTTCTTCCAACCAGTCTCCTGTATTGTTGCAAACAGTCCACTAATAAACTGCTATGACAGGTTTAAATTAATACTTTAAAGTATTACCATTCAGGTTAAGGAACTAAATAAGTGGATTAGTGGGAAATGGTAAAAGAAACAGAAAAAAAATGTGTCATGCTATGTGCTGAAATCAGAAACTATTCTTAAACAAAACTAAACATGTAAACTATTATATGTAATAAAGCCCCAGATTTCAAAAAAAAAAAAAAAAAAGCAGGTGCAATAAATATATAAACCAGCACAAATCTTATTAGATGATTTAATATTTACTAACTGCTGTGTATTTTAGAAGGATATTAAGTGTCTCAAAGACTGTGATGATCCGTCCATTTACTTGAACAACAAAAAAGACTTTTGGACTGATATAAGGATTAGATTATCAGAAAAGTCACTTTTCTGTTGCCAAGTTTGAGCATATACATTTTCACACTTCAGAGAGATGCACCCAAGAGTCCCTTTTGCCCAAACATCAACTTTGTCCTTTTCTTCTAAACCAGTGGGTGCCTTGCTTACGTTACATGAATGTGGAATATGCTAAACTTCTCCAAAGACCTCCATTCTATTTCCCATAACTTCTCCAACACCACTTTGTTCCTTGAGAGAGAAGTAGAGAAGGTACAGATGGCAGAGCTGAACACTGTATTCATATAGTTGCATGGTTCAGCCAAATACTCTTCATTAAAGAGCATCATGCTTATTTTAATCACCTCATTTACCTGTCAAACATTGATTTCAAAAGGAGTTAACCACTCCCTCTGAGTATTTGAACAAGAATGACTGTTACTGGTGCACAGAGGTATAATGATATTCCTCCAAGAATCCCCAGAAAAGTCAAAATCTTAACTGTTGCCACCTCTGTCTTGTAATTTGATTTTTACTAAGCAATATTTGCATTGGAAAATTAATCTAGGTTTAAATGAAGTGTAAATATAAAGTGCACTATCTGCATAATTCTCAAAAGGTGTTACAATCACTTCTTAGTGCAGAGCCAAACCAGAACAAGGCACATTTATTCTGAAATTAAAGTGCCAAGTGCACATTATAGAATTGCTCATTCTCATTAACTTCACATGTAGATGAATCTTTATACAATTTAATTATGCCTTTAACCTGTGACAATAAGAATGAATTAAATAAAAACTTGTTCCCTGGACAATTGGAAGGAAGAGCCTAATACCATATTCATTAGTTTTTGGAACTTTACTTATTTATGAACTTTCATTTGTACAGTACTCCGGAGCACTATTAAATAAGATGGGTTTTATGGCTCCAGTGTATTGTTTTATAAATATTCATAAAATCAGCACACATTCCAGAAAAAATACTGTATGTGAAATGTGGGATTCAGGCTAGTGATTGTAGAGTAGCTGAATTTAACTAGTTTTTTAAATGTTTATTATATTACAGGTAGAATGTTCACTGCTGGCTTCAGAATATGCTTTATAATGTGGTGCATAGCTCCAGTTCTCTTAAACTTGGTCAAGGGCTAGGTAAGGTGGTAGGCAGCTGACTGCTCTTAATCTTCATTCAACATTGCTGGATTTACAGAAGAAAATTATTATCATGTGATTAAATAAAAATAATTAAGTAGTTTTTCTGTATTTTTTTCTCTAGCAAATTTTTCTTTATTGAACCATACATCAGTGGATTTTTCTATAGAATTTTTTTCTTATACTCTGATGGGAAAATTGGAGGAAGAAATGACCAGGTAATAGGAAAATTTTCATTCACTTCATGGTTATTCTTTTCTTGTAATAGAGATCTCAAGCAATTGTCCTCTAAAGATTATTCTAATATTTAGCCCAAGATTAATATAATTTCATTATTTTGTGGAACTGAAGGAATTCAGTTATTGTTATGTCTTTAGGCTAACATCATTGCATGAGTCAGGAGCACCTTGCATTTTCCCACTCTAATCCAAGTCTGTGCCAGATGGCTCACAAACCTAAAACCTTTATGACAGAAGCTCAGAGAAAGGGTTATTCCTCCCTTCCTCATGTGCCAGGATACCTTGTTCTCCTCCTGTGGGAGATGACTCGTAGCTCCCCGAAAACAGACTGAGAAAAACACAACTCATGCCTTTCCCTCAATGTGTCTTCCTACTCTTGCTCTTCCTCCTTGCCCACTCCCTTCACTCCTCATCCTGCCCTTGCACTCTCCAGCTCTCATTTTGCCACCAGCCTTGCCTGTCTGTCAAGCTGGCTTCTCTTCTTCCAGCCACATCATTCCTCTTCTTCCTTTTTCCTTTTCTCTGTTGCTTTCCTTCATCTCTCATTAGGTAACCACTGTAAGAGTAAGGCACACTCCAATGCACAAATTGCAGCCACCCGCCTGGTTCTGAGGGAGGTCCTGGCAGCAGGAGCTCCTGTGGCTGAAGCGGTGCTGTGCCAGATCTGCAGGAGCTTCTGTGGAGGTCCCCCATTTCCTGCCCTTTAGCTTTGTCATTTTCATCTAAACCACAAGCGTTTTGATTAATGCCTAACAAAATCCCTAAAATATTGGAACCGATCATTTGCAAAGCCCTGAAATGACTTTGTTTTATCCATAATTAAATGACACCACACCAGTCAGCAAAGTCAATTGATTACTTACATCTCTGAACCACATATTTTCTATTAGTTTATAAACTTTTTAAAGGACAGTACCTAGGAGACCCTAGTAGTTACATGAAAACTGTGGATACCGTTTTCACATAACGCCATCAGCTAGTGAAGTTTGAATCCAGTTTTATGAAAGGAAGTGAAATGATGTTTCTTGTTATTCAGAGAAGCTAGTCCCTTTCTTCCTCTCCTGTGCACCCCCTCAACATCAAAAGCTCATGATAACTTTCTAGGTAAGAACATTCACTCCATGTTCTTACTGCATAGGATCAGACATTAAAAATTTTCTGATAATAAAAGAAATTCTGAAAGACATCCCTTAAATACAAACACCTTGTACTCTACCAGAGATAAACCAAAAGGAGATCATTATGAATTCGGGAATGATAGAATTTTCATTGAATTTCCAGGTTTTCAGTTTTCATTCGTCTTTGCCAATACAACCAAAGAGGAATATCCTCCCAAATAATAATAATGATTGCCATTGGGAAGGTAAATCAAGTATTCTTTGGTACCCTTTTCTTCTAGAAGGACAAAGAATAGACATTGAAATTGAGATACACTAAATTTAAAACTACCAAAAGAAATACTTTTTATGTAACGCCCAAAAAATCTGCAGAGCTCATAACTAAAATATATAAATTAGGTCAAGAATTTACTATGTATTTTTAACATTTTCTGATCTGATAAAATTGCAATAGGGACCAAGATGCAACGGTTGGTTCGATTAGACTATCCCACTGACAAGCTGTTTCATGTTAGTCTTCTAAGGTGTTAAGTACGAGTTATTTTCAGAGACAAGCTGTGGGGACAAGTGGTGTCATCATGTAAGCAATTTCCAGGTTTATGATTGGGGGGGGGGGTATTCCTTTTTGTTTCTCTGTCTACCTATAACCTATCTCTTCTTTTGTTATCCTTTGCTCTTTCTGGGTTTTCCTTCCGTTTCCAATTTTTGAAGACCTAGCTCCTCTTTCTTCACGCCACCATTCTGAAAGGGAAAGCAAAACCTAGTCTTTTTGTTCATTGCCAGAGAAGGGTATTTGTTTTGTAAGTAAGCAAGCTGGGATGGTGTGCTCCTTGAAGGGAGTATGAAATCACATATGTAAAATTTTACTCTTGTTGTAGAAACCCCACTGTATAGGATAAGAATTAGGAGTTATTGATATAAAAATTATGTGGCTCAATTCTGGAACTGGAATCTAAACACAAACATTAGGTATATTTGTCATGCAAGAAAGCTGGTAAAATCAGGGTTATACATTTCTTAACAATTGTCATTGAATAAATAATTCACAATGTCATATATTTTTATTTTCCAATTAATTGTTGCTAATGATATTATAAAATAACCATAATTAATAGGGATTCTGATTGTGTTTTAGCATAAACTAAATGTTCAAACAAATGCATAAATTCTGTGTTTCCCTAGTTCTGTTGCTTTTTGTAGTTTTTTATTATGCTGGCAATGATTAAGAACATTCAGCTACTCATTTAATTTTAAGTTATTCTTTAATGTACTCATATTTCTCATTTTAAATATTAAATATTTTGTTTAATTGCAATTAGGAATAAAACATCTTTGGCGTTCATTTATAACAAAAGTACTTTTGTATGTGTGGAGTCTTATTTTTTTGTAACTGCATGAACAGTACCTAGACATTAATTCATATATTTTTCTTGAGGAATGTATGCAATTTTAAAACCAAACTAACATTTCTCAAAGATGACTAAACAAAACAATTTCATGATGATAGCATGAAAGCAATTAAAATTCAATGTCTGAATCTTTACTTCATTAAATGAAGGTGGAAATCCTGAAACCTAACTCATTTTTGCTTTTATATCACTTAAGCATTTTTAACATCCCTGTCTGAATTTTCATTCATTGTGGAAAGTGTTTCTAAGAGTAAATATGTCATTCTAAAATCGTTTTTTTAATCTATGACTTCATGGATTTTGAGACATTACTTTTTAAATTTTTTTTTGGTTGGTTGGGTTTTTTACTTTGTGGAAGTTGTATAATAAATTAGCAAAATATAACTGAAATTTGATTCTGAAAGAATTTTTTAAATTTTCATAATAGTGAAGAAAGAAATGCCTGCTAGCCCTGTTTGGAGTAGAATTAATTAATTTTCCAATCTTTTTGTTTCCTTTCAGATATGCATATTATTATTCTGGAATAGGAGCTGGTGTTCTTTTTGCTGCCTACATTCAAGTTTCATTTTGGATGCTGGCTGCTGGCCGGCAAATAAAAAGAATCAGACAAGAACTTTTTCATGCTGTAATGAGACAGGAGATTGGATGGTTTGACGTAAATGATGTAGGCGAACTTAACTCCAGACTTGTAGAGTAAGTATTACATATCAGTCAATTGCCAACTGAGTATTAATTCTGATTATTGAAAATCAGTTGTAATACTTCCCTCAGAGCAATGTTATTTTATTTTATTGAAGTCCTCTGTAAACTATGCTATTATTTATACAGATCCTGAGATGTGTATGGATCACTTAAATGGAACCTGAGGAACAGAGAAATGTTGGAGAATGCTGCTCCATGACCTCTCTGGCTGCAAACTTGTAGCTGTGTTGAACTGTAGGTCTTAGAAACATCACAGAGCACTGACAAATTGTACCACATCCAAAGAGTTCATTTCTGTACTTTCCACACTCTTATTTGTTTGGATATTTTTTTTTTTCAGTGACATCGCCAAGATTAATGAAGGAATAGGAGAAAAAATTGCAATGTTCTTTCAGGCAATAGCTACCTTTTTCACTGGATTTATAGTTGGTTTTACAAAAGGCTGGAAATTAACACTTGTGATTCTAGCACTCAGTCCTGTACTGGGATTCTCATCAGCTCTGTGGGCAAAGGTATGCAAATCGTGTGACTTTTCAATAAATTTGTAAATTATATCTTCTACAATCCCATTTGGTATCTGTAAGTCTTAAAAATGCAATCTGGCTTTTAGTGAATTTAGATCTTGCCCACATGCAAAAAGGTGCAAATAGGTGCATGATGACACTGGTACAGCTGAAGAAGTGCAGTGTTTTCACCATGCACTCAGTTATACTGCTGCAAAGTTTATGTAAGTCTAACATACCCTCATTTGAAAGAGTAAATAAGCAGTCCTTCTGCCTTCTTCCACTGGACTCCATGACAACTACACCAGAATTACCCAGTACAGTCAGTAAAAATAAATAAATATAGAAATTATGTAAAACGGCACAGCTGCAGCCATCTTGGGTAACTGACATCGAGTTCTGACATGAACCTGTGGCAAATCAGGTTTCCTGCAATAAGGCCCGTCTGTGGGCGCTGACCCCAAGGCGATGAGGTTGTTACCCCCAGGGACAGCACAAGGACACGGGCAGACACAGCCAGGCAGCTGGCACACCGTGAACTCTGTTCCAGATTGTCCCTTTGCCATTTGCTCAACTCCCATCGACTTACTGAAAACAGCATTCCAGAAGTGGATGCAGGCCACTCAGAGAGAGAAATAGACTTCATCTACAGAAATGTAATTGCTTATGGCTAGGGCTTTCAAAGGGGCATCAAGGTGTTAAGTACCAACTGACTACTGAGTTTCATTGTCACTGGCCAGCCTTTGCCTTTTAGCTAAGACGAAAATCCCAACTCTATTTAACATGTGCAGTCCCTAATACTTCAGAGAACATGAGTACTCTGCTATAACTTCATCTGCAGCATACGATGTGTTGGGAACATGAATATTCCTGTGCTTGTTGGCATCTGTCCTGACACATACCAGAACTGCCTGATGGTGGCGGTGCAAGTATTTCTAAGTTTAGGGGATCTTAGTCAGCTCCTCTGGCTTTCCAAAATGATGAAAGTATAGAAGAGCTGAAAATCCAACCTCATTTTTTGGCAGCAAATAACACGAATTCTTCTAGTTAATGTATTTTATGCAATGCAAGCATTGTCATTATGCCCTTCATCAAATTTCATCCTTGGAAATCAAATATGGATTATTTTATAAATCTTTATAATAAAACAAAGTATATAGGAGATTTGGTACAATCAATTAAGAATTCTTAGACATCAGAACAACACTTGAGCTCATTCTGGGAGTTTTTTTGAATGGGAGAATTAAAATATTTTTCTTCTGCACAGATAATTTCCACATTCACTAACAAAGAGCTAACTGCATATGCAAGAGCAGGAGCTGTTGCAGAGGAAGTTCTGGCAGCAATTCGAACTGTGGTAGCATTTGGAGGACAGAGAAAAGAAATTGAAAGGTGAGAATAAAGTTTCCATATGTTGGCTGTTTTTATAATAGCAACTAAAGAGATTTTGAATTTTTTTATATCTTTGCTGCTGATTTTTTTTTCTTTTCTCTATTTTTTTATTAGCTTCAAAAAGCTTGATAAAACATGCAGAAATGTAGTTTCTTTACCGGAGAGAATATGGTCTTACAGGCCTCATAAAACCAGAGGGACTTGTAAGCAAAAAAGACAGACACATTGGAAAAAAAAAGACAAGTATAACACTAAGGTCACAAACCAAGGTCATGCACATGTATTTATTTGTATTACACTATGGAATATCATTCTTGCCATCTTTTTGATCTTTTATTTAAAGATAACCAGCATGACCACAAATACTGGCAGAGTCTTTCAAACTCAAAGTTCAGTAAGAATTGTGTCACTCACAGAAAACACACGCCATCCCCTGACATGCTTAGCCCTTTATGCTCCAGCTGTCACTACTGCCCAGCTCAGGTGGCTGAAAGAAGTCCTTTGGGTATCTGTACCTCACTTCCCAGTTCACCCCAGCATCTTTCTTTAGTTATCCAGTGCTGTTTATCACCCTCATACCTCTCATTATCTCTTTTTCTTATCCTTAAAGCATTTTTTGCCAGCCACTTCTTTCCATGAGTGGACTAAATGTGATGTAGGTGTTTGCTTATGACCCAGAATTGGGAAGGACCTCCCACATTACTGGGACCAGATCCTGCTATTATAATGAGCAAATGTATCATCTAAATCCCTTGCTAATAAGTATTAAAAGCTCCATTCTAAAACCAAGTAGGCTTTTTAACTCTACTGCTGCAGGGAGGCTATTCTGCTTGGCTCTCTGAAGACCAGACATCTCTCTCCAGCAAAGTATATGCATAGTTCCTATATATTAATTTGTTACTGTACCAGCACGGAACATTTGCTTTGGTAGTTCCCTTCCATGGGTTTACTTTCCTGTGCTGTTTATAGAAACACATCATAGACTCTCTTAGGTGGCATTTTGCTAGGACCAAATTAAGTACTTTTTGTTTTCTTATACAGTATTGGTTTGCCATTTCACTGGTCATCTTTTATTTTACATAATTATGGTTCATCTACTTCTCTTATTACTACCCTCCAAGATTATATAACTAATTCTATAAGTCATTTTGGTATGCTTTTGTCCTGGTTCTCAGTACTGATCCTCTCAGTTTTGAACCATCAGAAAATTGCATTATCCTGAGTATTGTTTGCATGCCGTAGTCATTAAAATCAGAAAAAACAATATATCCCAGGACTGACTGAAGAATTATGTTGTCAACTCCACTGAGTATTATAGCTCCCTGTTGAACACTGCCGTGTTGCTTCAAACAGTTTCTTACCTTACCATTCTTTTATTGCTTTACAACTACTCTTTAATTAAAAATTTATTCTATGGCTTTAGGATAAATTGGCATTAGATGGTATTAATGAAGGCCCAATGGATTAGTTTTATTGTGTGTTGCCTTTCTAGAAATAACAGTATTAAAGAAAAGCAATTGGGTTAATTCTTCACTTTCATAACACATGACACATTTCATGTCTTTTTATTTTGTATGATTTTATTTTATTTCTGCTTATTTCTGATTTTATTAGTTTCTTCAGGATTTATTTGCAAGATTTATGTGCTAATTTTGTCAGGCTACAAACTTGTAATTTCTCATGTTACTGTTTCTTTTGTAATATTTCAGTGTGGCTCTAAGGTACATTCCTTCCTTACTGCTTTTCCTTTCAGGACCGATGTGGTAATTAAAACACCCTAATTCACATTGGTCATCTTCCTTTTGACATCATGCACATTTGCGAGGTTTATTTTGTACTGAAAGTTGAGGCTGAACTACAGTTTCAGAGCTATCCCCAGTGCAATTATCATCTCAGTGCTTTTAAAATTCTAAGACCCATGAAATGGAAAACCTTTGAGCAGACCTTTTTTGGGTGTGTTCGTCTGTAATTAGTTTAACTGATTCAACCTGAAATCATTTTATCCTTGATTTCTATCTATAACCAGATTTATCTAGATAGCCTTAAACAAATTCTAAAAAAAAAAGTCCTTTTTTTTTGTTCAGTGACTATTTAAAAAAGAAACTTCTCAGCTAACACTTCCTGGAGCACATGGGTCACACAGCAATTGCTGTCATTTGATCCTTTAGTCTGTATTTATGATGTATCTCTCTCAGTCACACACTTCTGACTGAACTGTTCTCTCTGTTCATGTCCAAATCCAATCTAGACTATCAACTGCAAGCACCATCCCAATAATATTTTTTACATTCATCACCAAAGAGATTTTGCCATAATTGATCCCATTTTCTCCATATCACCATTTCTCCTTTCTTTCCAATGTACTTCAACACTCATGCAACAGTTATCCTACCCTTGTTACCTTTTTTTCTGATCAGTACTTTATTTCTCCTGTTATCTTCTACTCTTTTAACATTTCTGTACTTTCATACTTCTTTACACATCATACATACACATACATATATATCATACATATATACATACACATCATACATATACATACGCCTCCTATACATCAGAACTGCTCTTAGAATTGATATCAGTCTCTCCCAACTTTTACACTTTATTGCCTCAAAATTTTTATCCTCAACCCTAGATGCCTACTGCAAACTACTCAGAGGAGACATCTTTCAACCAGTTCTTCCCATGGCTAGTCACTGTTTAGCTTTCTTCATTGCATCAGTAATATTCACTCACAGTTGGAAGATTCCACTGAAAAATACAAGATTAAAGCTGTTTAACAGCTTGCCACAGCCTTCTCCACTCATCCAGGACTTGTTCCAGACAAAACTGATCAGCTCAATCTGTCACAACATGAAAGACGGTTAATATATTTTCTTCTACTCTTAGCAAGATCTTTCTCAGGACAGGACTACTGTTTACAAAAAATTTTTTATATATCTTTGATGTATTTTATGGGAAATTTATAAATATACACAATGAAAGAAATAGTAATTTCCTGTATGTTCTGGGTTTTTGTTTTTTTCTTTCAGATACCAAAAAAAATTAGAAGATGCCAAACGCATTGGTATCAAAAAGGCTATTTCAGCCAATATTTCTATGGGTATTGCTTTCTTTTTGATATATGCATCATATGCCTTGGCCTTCTGGTATGGAACCACTTTGATACTCTCTGATGACTATACAATCGGAAAAGTCTTTACAGTATGTATTTCCCAGTAGCTGAACAATGTTTATTAAAAATACTGAACTGATCCTATATAATCTTATTGGAATGTGTGACTTTAAATTTTAAGTGAGGTTGAAGTTAGCTTTTCAAACTACATTTTTTAATTTTTCACCCCTGCTGACAAAACCAAAACCAGTTCTGCATACCACTAATATTTTTTTAAGTTGGATAGCAACATAAAGAAAAAAAAAATCCAGCTTGGATCAATAATAATTAGTTGTAAATTTTTTATTCAGTCACACCAGATCTTTGCTAAAAGACTGAGACATAACTTCTAGGAATCATGATTCATGCCAGGTGGTTACATTCAGGAGAGAAAGACCAGGAGGCATCAGGTAGCATTCTCGTTGTAACAAGTTAGCTCCTGTCTTAACACAGTTAATTTACCTGCAGTCTTTCTCTACAGTGATATCAGGTCGGACCTTTTATTGGAAGGCTTTGGGGTATAACTGTGTGGTTGAAGATTTGATCCCAATTACAGCCTGCCTGCTAAGGAGTGCATATCTGTGATAGGTCAGCAGCTCTTGAGGCTATCCTCTCCTTTATGCTCAGGCACCAGGGTCTCTTGCAAGATCTATGAGTCTTTGAGAAGCAGCTCATTTAGTTGTTCCCACTTGTGACCAGATAGGTAAGTCCATTTTGTGGCCAGCAGGACTAGGGAAGTGATTGTGTCCAGTACTCAGCACTGGTGAGGCCTCACCTCGAATACTGTGTTCTGTTTTGGGTCCCTCACTACAAAAAAAGACATTGAGGTGCTGGAATATATCTAGAGACAGACAACAAAGCTGGTGAAGGGTCTAGAGAACAAGTCTTTTCAATAGCGGCTGAGGGAACTGGGGTTGTTTAGTCTGAAGAAAAAGAGGCCCAGGGGAGACCTGATCGCTCTCTACAACTACCTGAGAAGAGGCTGTAGTGAGGTGAGTGTTGGTCTCTTCCACCAAGTAGCAAGTGACAGGACAGGAGATAATGGCCTCAAGCTGAGCCAGGGGAGGTTTAGGTTGGATATTAGGAAAAATTTTTTCACTGAAAGGGTTGTCAAGAATTGGAACAGGCTGCCCAGGGAAGTGGTTGAGTCGCCATTCCTGAAGGCAGTGTAGACATGATGCTTAGAGACATGGTTTAGTGGTAGACTTGGCAGTGCTAGTTTAAGGGTTGGACTTGTTGACCTTAAGGGTCTTTTGAAACCTAAAAGATTCTGTGATTCTACAATTTTGTCCACTCCAGGGCAGAACCAGACAGGTGAGTTTGTATTACCAACACGCTGCAGAAATCAGCTGGGAAGGAGCTTTGTTCTCATGTCCTCAGTGAAAGCAACTGCTGGATCAGGGAAAGCAGGAGTACCTGAAGCTAGGCTTCTGCCTTATCTGGCAAGCAGCACATGGCTACAGAGCAGGGGTTATCTCTGGTCTTCGGAGAAGGCTGTACTCATTGTCATCTCCTCTGGGCTACTAACAACTTAGACTGTAATGTAAGCTTGATTTAATACTTAGAGATAATTAGAATAAAATGTAAATAAGCCTTTATTCCCAACATCTGAAATGAGTGGCAGAGTTGCATGAATTCAGAAAAAAACACCCAAACACAAAAATGTCAGAACCAAGGCTGAAAAAATTAGATGAGAAATTAGAGTCTGCTTTTGATGTGACAATTTCAGTTTCACACAAAGAATTTTCCCATTTCCTCAAGCATTTGGTTCTGTTCTTGCCAGTACTACAATATAGTAGATTACCATGCCTTTACCTTTTGGGTTGAAGTACCCTTGGTTATATCTTATATGAAGAAAGAAAGAGGGGTTTTTTCTATGTTTAATCACAAAAGTAACTAGTAACTAATTTTTGTTCAGGTGGGGCTAGAAATGTCCTTCTCTTCTCTATTGTCATTATAAAGAAGAATTCCAGCCTTCAGCAGCTCACAATATCTTTCTTATGGTCCAATTGTGGAAGAAGGAAATATAATTTGATTTCTTATTGTCGATGTTTACCTTCTGTTAAATGATTGCCACCTGTTTAATTGCTGCTTTCATTCTAGACTTCCTCATATTGTACAGCATGCATGAAACTACTTGAAGTAATGATAGATAATATTCTCCAATAAATGAAGCTGTCTAATTAGAGTTATGAATTCCTAGCTATGCATTATGTTGGTCATTTTTTTTTTCTTTAGGTCTTTTTTTCTATATTACTTGGAGCTTTTAGTGTTGGACAGACTGCACCAAGTATGGAGGCATTTGCCAATGCAAGAGGAGCTGCCTATGCAATCTTTAATATCATAGACAATGTGAGTATGTTTGCCATGTCTGTCATCCAAAATTGTTAAACATCTGACTTGTTTGTGAATTAAAATTAACAATTGTGTGTACAATATCGTGACATTTAAAAAAATCTACCTATAACAATTGTGGATACAGGACAAACATGTAAACACTGGAATGTGAGCCAATAACTGAGGAAGATGCAAATTCCTACCAGTTGTAGTTTTATCTGGTAGTTCAGAAGACCAGGTTAATAAATATACTTTAATCTTAATTCTTAACAAAACCCCAACTCAACAACTGAGAGAGGATTCTAGATCTTCTGTAACTATGCTCACTTTATTGATAATATTTCTTTTCAGCTATCAATAATTTAAAAGGCTGCCTTTACAGTGACTACATCTGTAGTTATTTGGCCATGTAACTTCTACTTTCAAGTCCTATATCAAAAATATTAAAATATTTGAATATTTTATAAATTATATGCATTATCTAATTACTGTATATAAAATATAACTAAACTTAATGTTGTGTTTCCATTTGCTGCTGCATCAGGTAACAGTTATGAAACAATACTGGAATGTCCACTGACATTTTTACCTCTGGGGTCACATCTACCTTGTAGTTCAGAGATGTGACTGTAGCTGTTGCAGTTATACCCATGCTAGATCAAGATGAGATATCAGTAACAGCAGGATCATACCTGACAAGGATTGGTTTCAGCTATAATATTTACTTACCAGACTTATGGTATATACTGGCTGGCAGGGGCTGTAACCTTGCTGCTATAGTATCATAGTGACTACAGTGCTCTTTTAAAAGTAATCTTGGGTTGTCTACACAAGCTATATTTCTCTCTTTGGATATTAGTGCACTATTCCTAATTCTAGACTGTTCTGGGTAGCAATTAAAACAATCGCATTAAAACCTAGTCCTCTGTCTGTGTTAATATGGCACAGCTGCTGTCTCTTACAGTATGTTAAAGGGAGAAGTGTAATCATGAAAACAAATTACTGGTAGTATGCAATGGCTGGATGTGAATGTGTAGGTTATTCCTTCCTTTCACTGATTTTTTAGATTATCCCTTAATTTATGCCTGTGAAGACTTAAGGCCCTGAGCATTTGCCTCGGTTACTCACCCCTGACAACAGATCTACCAGTGACCTGGACTGTCAGATTCACACATCTGTGAGCTACAGCTACTTTGCAATGATGCTTGTTATGCCTTGTTATATAGTAACAGTAATGTCTAAGATGTCACATCCCTGTATCATGCTAAAATGACATTAAGAATCTAAACAATGTTTTCTTCCCTTTTTTTGATATGTTATTCTTCACAGGAACCTCAAATTGACAGTTCATCCGATGCTGGCTATAAACCAATGCATGTTAAGGGGGATTTGGAATTTCAAAATGTTTACTTCAATTATCCTGCTAGGCCAGATACGAAGGTACTGTGCATGGAGGTGATACAGATTCCATTTAAGATAACTTGATTGATTTAGAGGAAAACAATTGCTTTAATTAAAAAAAAAAAAAAAAAAGTCCTAGAAATAATGGAAACTTTTGTTTTTAACTAGAGCTGATAACATGTTTTAGACAGAACTGATTAGTTAAGTAAATTAACAGCCAATCTTTTAAAATAAAATGTAACTACATGAAAGTTCCACTAAAAGCTGAAAGGTTGGAGATCCTTATAAGTCACAAATATAATGAAAAACACTAATTGTAATAGTATTTGTTTTAATCCAGTAAAAATATTATAGCAGTATATTGATATGCCAAATTGTCCACACTGTAAGTCTAAAGTATTTCTCTGAGAAACTGGCAGCAGATCCAACACCTACCTTATTGTATTTACAATGCAAAATCTGCCTCTTTGAAGAAAGAGATTGTTTTGATTGAGAGGTCTCACTAAGGTAAGTCTTGATGCAATAACTGGGGAAGAGGTCTGAATTATTTTTGAAAATACATTTATTAAGAATGTCTTGGAAAATCATCTTTTCCAATGTGAAGGAAAGCCACTTTCATTAATCTATAAAAGGGGATCTGTTTCCATTTTGTTCAGGTAGAATATGAAGACAGAGAAGAACAGGGCTTTCTTAGTCAACTTTTAAATAAAGAGACAAAATATTCCAGTGAGCCAGTATCTAAAAAGATCAGCTGAAATCATTTGGCATTTATATTAACTACAATTAGAATTGATATGAAGACTAGGAAGACTACTAGTCTCAGTGAATTCTGCATCAGGTTTCTAAAATGTTTTTAAAATTATCTAGTATTAGAGAAGGGCTTTGAGTTTTTATTTCTTCCTCTATTACAGATGTCACCTTTTTAGCACTTAATGCTGGTGAGAAAGGGCAAAGGATATTGCATAACAAATAAAAACAGGAATGATGAGCAATCCAGAGCATAGCAGGGAACATAATGTGTTAATGGAAACAGCATTGCATACTGCTAAATTGTCTTTGCCTACTGACAACAGTAAGGTTTAAGAGGGTAGTACGCAACAGAAGACCTCACTGCATTCCTAAACTTGTGCAGGCATATGTGACATCAATGGCTGGGAATTCATCTCATGTGATAGCTGCAGGAACACTTCCCCAGCAAGGGCTGAAAAACCTGCCCAAGACATGGAGCAGGTGCTTGTGCAGTGATTGTGCCAGGCTTGCTGTTGTTGCATTTTAGCAGGGATAGAAGTAGGTAGGCTTCTTCTCTAACATTAGCTTGTGTTAGGATGAAGATAAAACCTAAATAATGTCCTCAGATAGGCCCATTCTATTTTCTAGGACTTTTTATCTTGCATGTTTATGTATAAGAAAATATTGTGAAGATACTTTATTCTTCTCACTTCAGTGAGACAAAGTATTTGGCCCAAAACTGACTGAAATCAGTGAAATATTTCCATTTGCATCTTCATGTTTTGGATCAGGCTCTTAGCTTTTATCTTATTCCCAGGGCTAGCTTTCATGTAAATGTCTAACAATGTAATAAGTATATTTCCATGTAAAAACTTGCAAAACAAAGACTTTTGATTGAGTTCTAAGGTAGCTTGAGGGTTTATACTAGGTTGTCTCAGCTTGTAGTTGCTCATTTTGACATCATATAAATCCCACAATTCAAAATATTCTTGATAAAAGTAGCAATTTTTTCAGAGGTTTTAGCATTACTGAAATGAAAGAGTGTTCGTTTTACCCTGTTGTTCTGAAATAAGAAAAGTCCTGTTTAATGGAATATCGGCTCTCCCATTTCTTTTAAGATAAGAACTTCCCCATGATGTATTCTTATTGGGCTACTTGTAACGAACATTTTATATAAATATGCAAAACCAGAACCATAAATTTTTGCACCCTGCTAACTAAAAAAAAAATATCCAAGGAAAGGTTCCCTTTCATCTCATGACACAGAGGATTACAAATGTGTCTCTGCTTGAAGTTTTAGAGAAAACTGTAGGGAAAAGCTCCCATAGGCCAATAGAAGGTAAGAGGGAAAGAAAAGTTATTTTCCTCTACAGCTGCAGTGCATGTTGTGTGGCATATTCACCACCTACCTGAAACTGAGTGGTCGAGAGAGTAGCAATTAAGTTTGTATGGAAAGCAGACCTTCACTTTTGCAGTAGGTATGTAATGCCACATTTTGGAGGGATAAGCATAAGGAAGAATCTATTCATAGTGCAGTAAAACTTCATAAACTCCACATCAGCCATTCCACAATTTCACATATAGTTCTTCCCCTTCACTAGCTAAAGGTCTCTTGCAAAATTTTATTGATAGTCTCCAGAGTTTCTTCAAATTTACACTGACATTTTGACATTTTTGCTTACCTTTCTTACATGAACAGATACTGAAAGGCTTGAATCTCAAGGTTAGTTGTGGCCAGACAGTGGCTCTGGTCGGTGGCAGCGGCTGTGGGAAAAGTACAACTGTTCAGCTCATCCAGAGGTTTTACGATCCCAAGGAAGGCACGGTAAGTTACTGCAAGTGAGATGACTGCTCCGTGTGTCACAGTTGTTGGAAGTCTGGTTCTGGTCTCACTGCCCTTGTTCCAATGACGCGGCAAAGTCTCCCCTAAAAAGGCATGTGCCAGCCTGGAGAGAGAGGTTCCTTGACCAAAACACTCAGTAAAGAGTTTTTGTCTGCTTCCTTTTGTCTAGGTCACCATTGATGGACAGGACATTAAGACTTTAAACGTAAGGTATCTGCGAGAGATTATTGGTGTTGTGAACCAGGAGCCCGTGCTATTTGCTACTACCATTGCAGAAAACATTCGTTATGGCCGTGAGGGTGTCACCATGGAAGAGATTGAAAAAGCTACCAAGGAAGCGAATGCTTATGACTTCATCATGAAGCTACCCAATGTAAGCAAATCAGCTGTCCTGCTGAAATAATTTCTCCTGAACTGTCTTGTGTCAACTAGTTCCTTAGAAGGGTTTCTCATAAACAGAGGAAGCTATCCCTGGATCTGTGAATAGGCAGAGCTATGCAGAGCTTCCTCATAACTTCTGAGAATAACGTTAATTTTAAATTTTTAGGTCATGACTTGATGAGCATTTGGAGAACCATTAGAATTCCAGGGACACAAATGATTAGGCAGGTATATCCAAGTGGGTGTTTGTCCTCTAGTGTTGCAGAGGAAGGACAAGACGCTGACGGGGTTACTAACACTGATGTGCCTTTTCTTTACCCTGCCTTTCTTTGGTGAAAGGACTGTGCTACTGAGTGTTGTGGAAATGTGTGTGGTTGTCTTGTAGAAGTTTGAAACCATGGTTGGAGAAAGAGGGGCACAGCTGAGCGGAGGCCAGAAGCAAAGAATAGCAATTGCCCGAGCTCTGGTTCGCAATCCTAAAATACTTCTGCTTGATGAAGCAACGTCAGCTTTGGACACTGAGAGTGAATCAGTTGTGCAGGCAGCACTGGACAAGGTCAGTATTGCTCCTTTGTTTAAAGAGCTGCAAGAAAGGGAGACCCCTAAAAAGTCTAAAGTAAGCCTGAATTTTGCAAATACTCTCTGTTCATGGAAAGACTGGGAGCTCTAAATGGGGATGAATAGTGAAGTGCTTTGAAAAATAAATACATTAAAAATCTGGTTTGGAGTTTGTCAGCACTAGCTATATCAAGTCAGGCAGACTGCCCAGTGGTGAAGTGTTTTTGCAAGTGCCCATGAAATTCAGTTAATGATGTTATGGATAGGACTGAACTGCAGCAGACGTTCCCAAACAAGCTTTAGTCTTTGGAGCAGTGGAGAGCTCAACACGAGCTAAGAGCTAAATATTCTCAAGCGAGTTTGGGGATCCATGTGGGATATGATCTTATTAACACCCAGCAAAGTAATTCAGAACCTGCCAATTAGACGTAACTTCGAAACTACCTAGACAATTTAAAAAAAAATAGCCAATCCTGTATTTCTTGTTGTCTTGTCTAAGCAGGTATATGAACAGTTTACAAAATAGTTCCACCTATTCCTCAGGCTGAATCAATCATATTTGTTGGGTTTTCCCTCCTCCTGTTTCTTTCACTATGCACCTACGCTTATGCCCTGGGTGATCACAATTTCCCACCATTGCATAAACATTTTCAGCAGTGATCATAGTTCATCTACAGACAATATCTTTAGAAAGCATTTTGCCTCCATATGCTATTCTGCCTTAGGACAAGTACCTTAGATTACCCACTGTGCAGTGTTGTGTTTAGAAGAATCAGAGAGAATATATGTTCTCATCTTCAAAGATATTTTCATCCCTACTTTTCACTTGGATGCCTCATTGCCACTAATTTCAGCAAGAGTCACACTCTGTCTACTAGCCTTAATTACTGACAATTCACACTGCCCTGCAAAACTACTTTAGCTGCCATACTCGGGGATCTTTCTCCCAACTCATGTCCTATAACGTGAATCCCAGAGACAGGAGAGCAGAGAGCTGATGATTGAGACATATTTGGTGGGATCCCAAGTAACTGCTGCAATATAAAATTTATATAGCTAGTTTAAACAAGTTACTTAGCCTCTCACCTTCCCCACCTGTCTTCAAAATATGTCATATGGTGAGATGAATCTCCCTGTTGACATTTCTGTCAGAGCATGCCAGAAAGACTTGCTCAGACTAGACTAGCCCTCAGATTGCTGATGTTAAGCAAGTCAAAGCAAAGCTGTTGGGTGCCAAGCATTCATTTGTCCTCTTGCCTGCTATTTCCCTTCCTCACTGTGCGGAGCATGTATGTCTATAGAAGGTTTACATCAGATCTAGAGTAGACCACTTTTCCCTGCAGGCTTCACCAAACCTCTGCTGAATCTGTTTACTGTTTATGTGGATGAGGTGTTCTGCTTTTTATAATTAAGGACATTAACCTGATTTTCTTCTACATCTCAATGTGATTTTAACTTTTTAAGATTGTCTCAGACATAGTGAAGCATTAAGACTACCAGGAAAATGCCTCCCATTTCTTATAGGATGGTTTGAATAGCTGTCATTTCCAGTTCTTAAAATCATGTGGAAATATTAAGATACCAGGTTTAGCTGGAAATTCATTGAGAATACTCCACACATTGAAGTTTTCTTTTATTTCCTAATTGTAAAACACTTATTAAGCCATTATTCTAGCAGTTCAAACGTCACGTGAAGATTTTTAACCTGAATTATATAATGTTTGGATTAATTTCTTGGGTTATTAGACATTAACACCAATTTATCCCAGCACATGCTGTCACAATGTGCCTGTAAAAATATCTTTATTGTGTCAAACTACATACTTATAGGATTTGTTACTTGTGAGTGATTAAAAAGATGAAAAAACATGAGTAATAGAAGTATGATTTTAAGTACAATTTTAGGTAAATATTTTCAGCTAAGCCACACTAGTAATTTAGAACAAGTAAAATTGCTAAGTGATTGATTTTTAATATTTGTAAAATTCTCTGAAATAAAATTGTCACTGACTTGCTTAACGGTATATAGTCTTTCTTCAGTGAAAATTGGATACATAACCTGGAAAGATATTGAAGGGGGCAGTTTCAAACGTATGTTTAGATATTTGTGTTTAGAAAGAAATAGTCAGACATGAAAAAAACAGACTACCTTAGTTCATATTTTCAAATAAAATATGTTTTGTGGTATTTTATTTAAGTTACATTTTTGCTTTAGTTTACCTTGGAAGAACTGAAAAATATTACAAAATTCAACATTTCTCAGTTGACAATTTTGGTCTTTGATAGAAAACCATTTCTAAGGGAAATTTTTCACTTAAAATATTTTGTTCAACTCTAATATGAAGAGGGGAAATATCATATGTGCCTGACAATGTTAATGTGAGGCCATCGTTATGCTGTTTTCAGGTCAGGAAAGGACGCACTACACTTCTTATCGCTCATCGTTTGTCAACAATTCGAAATGCGGATCTTATAGCTGCATTTGAAAATGGTGTCATCACAGAACAAGGGACTCATAATGAATTAATAGAACAAAAGGGAATTTACTACAAGCTTGTTAATATGCAGGTAGCTTTTTCACAACCAATTTTTCATACCTTTCATCATATTGTGTACTATTGATTTAACCAAACTGAATTGCTCCCAAAGGTACCTCTAGCTTTGCAGTGTTTTCTCAGTTGAGAAACTCTAGGGGAAAAAGAAGCTTCCCTGAAGAGTGCTGAACTTCATATTAAGAAAACTTCATATTAAGTAAAATGTGCAAGTTTAATTCACAGTTGTGAATTCTAAGCAAAAAAATGTTTCTTTAAAAGTATGACATTAAAAATTGTGTGAGAACGTAAAAAACACGATTGTCAATGTGATTGAGGTAAAAATGAAGTTCTGGTACTGATTGATTTTCAGACTACTTTTCCAAATCATAGAGTTATAAAATAACTCAGGTTGGAGCGGACCACAGTGGCTCATCTAGTCCAACCCCCACTGAACACAGGGCAGACTATGAGGTTGGAGTGGGTTGCTTAGGGCCTTGTCCTGTTGACTTTGGAATACCTCCAAGGATGGAGACTCCACACCCTCATCAAGTCACCTGCTCCAATGCCTCCCACCCTCATTGTGAAAACTCAAACACTCTTATGCAAGTACTTTTGCAAATCAGCAGCGTTTTAGTTTCAGGCTCCTGAAGCTTTGTCAGTTAGACATGGTCTATCTTTAATTTTTTTATTATCTGTCAAGCTGTCTCAAACTTTTCAAACAGTTTCTCTCAGGTCTTAACTTTGAAGCAGCTGGAAGTCTTGCTCCTATTCTTCATGGCTCTCTCCTCATGTTGACAGGCCCTCCTGTTGAATTTCTGACTCTCTTTAAGGCCCTTTTATATAATTTTTGCATTTTGAAGACGCTTTCTTCAAAAGGGCTTCTTCAGTTAACTGATTTTAACTCTCCTGTATGTTTACAGAACAGTTTAACTTGACAAAAAAAAAATAGAAAAAAAATCTCAGTGACTAAAACTTTTCCCCCCCCTTGTAAATGTTAGAGTATCAGCAAGTTTTTCACTGAGTATAGAGAGGACTTAATGAAACTTCAGTATTTGATTGGTCTTTGTAACATTGCTCAGTTCTTATCAATCTTCCATTTACTTAACATAAATCATTGTTGTTGTTATTTAGAATTTATCATCATTTGAAAATACAGAATAATATGGCCATAAACAATTTTTAGCATCATTCTGTTTCATTTCAGGCATCAGGAACTGAGGATCAGTTACAGGAAGAAGGTAATACACCAGCTGCCTCAGAGGAGGCATGGAAGCGATCAGTACTTACTGGACAAAGACATTCCATGCAGAAAAGCATACAAAGGTTCAGAATACAGAATGATGAACCCGATGTAAAAGCTGTTCAGCTTGTGAGTGTGCCTGTATTCTTACTTGTGTGTGTTTTCCATAACTAATGGGATAAGAAATAAATGTGATCCCACTCAAGAGAAAGTAACTTTTTAACAAAATGTGCAAAGGCAGCCTACATGTCTGGTTAAGGACTCATCAACTGACAAAATCATACAAGAGTTCTATGGAAACAGTCTTTTCCACTGAAGCTAAAATTATTTTTTTTTATTTGATACTTGAAATATTTTGAGGAATATTATGAAACAAAATCACTTGAGTATGGGAATAGCCAAGGTTGCGAGTTAATTCATTTAATTATAGAAAAAACCCAAAACTAGGTAATTAGTCATATAATGCAAATAGCACACCCTGAATAGGCAATAATTACATTTTTTGTCTAAATGTTTTGCTATCTATTGTCTAAAATGTCTGTGTTAGCAAATAAATGACTGAAAAATAAGAGAATTAATGAGCTGGCTAATGACCTAAACCTGCAAGAGATCATATTCAGCAACAAGTAAGGAGCAATTCAATACCATCAGGTACAAAAAGTGGTTTAAATTTGCAATTTCTGTTTCTGGATAGTACCACGAAGGATAAGTGGGATTTGTGACTAATCTTTTCAGGGAAAGATTCTAATTGTTATTGTTGTAAGAAATTACATTTTAGATAGCATTTATTCATCTTTTCCTTCTTTTATGTTATTAATATTGGGTACTGAGTAACAGTAAGAATTTCTGCAGTTAATTAATACAGTTTTTAAAGATCAGTTAGTTTGGGGTTTCCCAACATGGAATATTGGATAAGGAACATATTACAAAGAATATAGACATCACTCATTTCCCTCCCTTAATGTATTGTATTTATCCTGATGGAATCCTTTTATTTTAGGATAAAAGAGTACCTCCAGTTTCATTTTTTAAGATTATGGAGTTGAATAAAACTGAATGGCCATACTTTGTTATTGGAACTTTATGTGCAATTATCAATGGGGCCCTGCAACCCCTATTTTCAGTCATCATTTCAGATATTATAGGGGTGAGTATAAAAAAAAAGAAGTAACACTCTTCATTGTATGCTTTAGCTTTTGTCATTATTTCCTAATTACCTTTATGATAAACCAATAAAATTATACATTTTTTTTCAATTTGCACTGCAAATGGGCAAATGTCCTTGCTATGGAGAATGCAAGATGTCTGCTCAATGTCTTATAGAGCAGTGATGCTAATTGCACATCCTCAAGCAGAGCAGTTCACTGATGCTGAATGAGGAGAGGTTCTCCCATGACGTCTCCAAATCTGCTTCACCCTTACTCCTTTAGAGAAGGCAATATGTTAGCATGAGCAGTGCAAGCCTGAAATGGGATCCTTGCTCTGCCTTGCCCATGTGTGCTCAGCCATAGCCTTTCCGAAGATAGGATGTGACATGAAGCAGTGAGAAAAGAACAAGATGAAATGGATGTGAGATAACGCTTCTGAGTAGAGTTTTCATTACAGAGAGAATTTCTGTAAACCTGAATTTATGGTGTTAGAAAATGAAGTTACGTTCTCAAGTAAGCAACACTTTTCTTGTACTGGTAGGAATTTTCTAACATTTTCTATCAGAACACACTGTTGTGTTGGAAAGGTATTGAGATTGATAACAGTGTAGGACCTTACTATGCTATTGACACTGCAGAAGAGGAGACAAACTGATTGTGAAAGTACATGTTTACGTGCACTTATGTACCCATATGCCATACAGCACTCATATGCCACACCAAGGGAGAATATATGGACCTTTTACTTGCATGAGTTGTAGAAGACAAAGAATCGGTTTAGAAACAAATACAGCTCTGGAGGTTGAACCTCAGGTTCATGTTTTGACTGCTTTGGGATGCAGCACTCAGTCTTATTTTCTCATGTTTTTCACAGTTTTACCACAAAACATGAAAAAGAGAAAAGGAAAACACAGCAACATCTGCATTTACTGGAACATTTTTTACAACCAGTCAAGCTGTAGTATATAACTTGAAAGATACTGAAATAGCTTATCTTAAATTTTTGTACATGAGGTGTTACCTTCCAAAGAACTGTTTGGGAAAAGAGTATTACATTGGTGTTATACTTCAGCTTTTAATGCAAAGTGTAACAGAAAACATCCCTGAGGAAAGGGGAGCAGGCTCTGCATTTGCAGTTTTTCAGCATTTGTCCCCAAATCAGTCTGACATGGAAAATAATCTGACAAAGGGCAGAATATATATATTGGGAAAAAATAAAATTAAAGTCCTTTCTTTTTAAACATTAATTAACTCATAAAACTTAAAAAATTATTTTCAGATGTGATAGGATTTATAACAAATCTATATTAGAAAATTTAAATAATTTCATTGTAAATCTTATTGCTATGGACCAAGGTATAAAACGATGTAAACTGGAGTCACTCTGAGCAAACAATAGATAAATTTTGACTAAGGCAAATTAAATTTTATTAAACAAATTAAAAACATATAATGACAGTTACTCAACATCCAAAATATGCGAATACAATGCAACATCAAAGAACATGCAACACTCTTAAAGATCTATTTAAAAGACTTAGAGACTCTGAAGACCTCTAACCTTATAAAATATATTTGTGTTATCCAAACTCAGAATCATTTTTTTTATTCTCTACAAACTTGGTGAAACCAAAACTATATGATCTCCTTGTTTCATGAACTATGATTTTTTTACCATATACAGAAGTATGACGATGGCTTGAAGATACTACGTATTTAATATTAATTTATCTGCTTTTGAGATAAATAAGTGCATGGAAACTTTAAATGGAAAATTATTTTAGTAACAAAGCAAACTCTCCATACAGTGTAAATTTTTTTTTGTTGTTAACATATAGAAAACAAACAATAGAAGTCTGTTTGTTGCTGAGTCTTAGCCTAAAAAAAATAGTGGGTCTGTAAAATATAACACATCATATTAAGAACAACTGCCATATATCTCTCACTAATTAATCATTGTTTAACATGCAATAGTCTTCAGCCAGTGACTCCAGAAATGCTATTCTAGAGTTTTAAGACATGCTTCAGCATTTTGCTGGTGTAAATTGCAACAATAATTAACTGATGTAGGTTCTTCACTGACATGTGTTACTGACTTTATCTTGCCAAAATACCAATGAAGCCTTTATTCACAAGACATGAAAAATCACTTCAGATCTATAAACTTCAAAGAAAAAAAATCTTCGTTCAACAAGAAATGGACTTGTTATCACTTTAAGTGTATGTAATGCATATAGCATGTATGTAACAATAACAGGGGATATTATGGCACTGTAACTTAAGTAAATTAATTTTCAAAATTTTCTCTTATAGATGTTTGTAGAAAAAGGAGAGACTATCATCAGGGAGACAAATAGCATGTATGCACTGCTGTTCTTAGGTTTTGGACTAATTTCATTTGTCACTTTTTTTCTTCAGGTAAGTTTTTGTTACTGCAATTGTTCGTGATATTTGAGGCACTATATCTCAACTGTGCTAAATTCTCAGTGCCTTAGTGGTAAGCAGTACACAAGAAAAATTATGATGAACTTTCACTATCAGATAGGTTCAAAATATACTAAGAGGTATCAAATGTTCTCTGTATTATATGCTGACGCCCATCTCTCCAGCAAAGGAAACTTTGGGTGTAAGGCCCACACTACACCACAGCTTGTGTAGGAAATCCCAGTACTGACAGCACTGATAGTACTGAGAGTAATGTTGGGAGCACAGGCTTAGATCAGGTTTTGATTCTTCTGCCTTGAGTAAATAGTTGCCTCAACACCTGCTCTGAGCTCTGTGCAATGCTCCTGGAGCATCTGATCTGATTGCACTGAAACTACTCTGCATGTACCTACATGGGCTCAACCCCTTGGATTTCTAAGAAAACATACCAAAATTAATTAAGACCATATCACATGCTTAATTTAAGATTACTCACAGCTCCATACTGTGAAAGTTAAATAATATTTCAAATCACGTCTTCAGTCTGTGGAATGCATCCTTCTGTTTGTACAGGAAAGGAAGACTCTGAAACAGAGTCTAAATTCCCATATACACATAACATGTATTTGCCAATGCATGGACTTACTTATATTGCAGGAGAACTGCCAAGTTCATATGTAAATTAGTTCACTTGTTACGTGACTTGATGTGAACCTCATTTACATGCACAAATCCCTTTAGTTATTGCTCAACTACTTGTTGGCCTTGCCCAATCACCTGTTGACTTCTGAACACCACCTTGCTACTTTCTGCTAGATGCCTCTGAGACAACAGGGTGCCTTTTCTGAAATTACCTCCAGCCCTTGACCTCTCTTCAGGCAGAACCAACCTCAAAATTCCTACTTCTGTGATGTCCTTGGAAAATAAAAGAAATTGGTGGTAGAGCTGTTATGGATATTTCTCCACTCAGATGTGTCTGCCTGTTTGTCTCATCTCATTCCTGCACAGTCTGACCCTGCATGGCCCTGGCCCAGGAGTGACAGATTCACCAGTATGTCTTTGTGCACAGAGTTGTGTTGTACTTAGTGAGTATCTGTGCAGGTTCAGAGGGTTCCTCTAAAAATAACCAGCAACACTATATCTTTTTCACTCCAAGCTCTTAGAGAGAGAGAGGGAAATCCCTGGTATTTGTACCGTGACTAAAACAAGTATAGGGCCTTACTTGTGATAGCACCGAGCCTGTTACTTTGAAGTGACCAATTTCTGTTTGAGATCAGGTGTGATAAAAAAATTCCTGCAATTAAAACACTGTTTTGTGGGGCCTGAAGACTGTTCCATGGGATACACTTGTTTCTTAAAAAGCAGTGTCTCATTCTTTGCATTACTCTTATAGGTGCTAAATTTAGCTTTTAAAAATTTTGATTACCTCCGTTACAGCTAGAGTATTTTTTACTTAGCAATGTTCTTTTTGATATTATATGCAGATAGTCACTTAACAATTTATCTGAAGATAGACAAAAACTATGATAAGGTAATAAAAAAGCTTTTTTTTTTTTTTTCCTCAAACAGGGTTTCACATTTGGCAAAGCTGGAGAAATCCTTACAATGAGGCTTCGAACTATGACATTTAGAGCAATTCTGAGGCAGGTAAAAGTATTATATATTTAGCTTTCTGGAGCTTTAGAAATGCTTGTTTGTTTACATGCCATAAATTATCTCTCTGTTTATTTAAGTAGTCATGATACAATCATATCCATAAAGACCACACTGATTTCTTTAGCTCAGTTTAGAAACTGACTGGACTAAATCTGCATAACAGATCCAGGTAGATATAATAAATGGTTTTAAAACCCTTTTACTGATATAACTATAAGTCAAGTATAAGAAAGCTCAAAAGTAATGATAGTGTTTATTTAGTTTATTTAATAAAATCAAAGCACCTTTGGACTGAGGACCAGAGAAAGTAGGCTGTACTCCAAGAGACTGAATCTGAAATTCAGATCAGCCTTCATGGTAAGCTAACTCCATGTATAGGCTAGGATCCACAAATAATTACTAGTGAAGGTTATAGGACCTGGATATCTGACCAGCTGCACTCACTAATCTGCTGGCTGCTCCTACGTAGCAGGCACAGAGCCATAGACAGATACAGGAGGGGTCAGCAGTAGGAACAGAGCTCTGTTGTCAGTAAAAGCACATTCAGCAGCAGTGTGAAAACTTGTAAAAATAATCAGCCTGAAATCCAAGAACAGCAGTCCTTAGTTGCTAAGCAGTGAGGAGGATGGCAAGGATCTTAACTGCATGTGTAACCAGCCTTATCACCGTTGTTTGATGGCTGGCATTAGCTGCTTCCTGGAGCGGGTGCAGTGCCAAGCTGCTCAACAACTCCACTGCAATGTACCAGTGCAAATTGGTAAGCCCTTCCTGGGGGGCACAGCCTGCACTGGTACCTGTCCTACTGACTTGCTAGCATTTCCAGTCCCTATTTCAACACAGCTAGAACTAACTCAGGTATTTTTTGCCCCTCTTTTGCTGCCACTCCTACTTTTACCAGTTGATTTCCTACTATTTTTTATTTAATTCGCCGAGTATTTAAAAGAAATGTTGGTATTCTATATGTTATTATCAGTCCACAGTACAAATTCAGTCCTTCACTGAATTTCTATTAAATTTTACTCCCAGCTGACCGAGCTGTAGGCATGCATGTTATCCCTGAGGTAGTAGAACACAGAGCAATGTGAGACGAGGTGCATCACTCACTTGCCTTTCACTCACTACAGAGAGCTCTATCCCAACCACACTAGTCTGATACATCAGCAAGTCTGGGATCAAAGAGGATGTTTCCAAACAGGCACCAACTTCACCACTTCAGCACATACAGCTAAGTGAAGATTTCCTGATCTCCACAGAGGGTCATTCCCCACTTGAGAAGTTCCCAAAGCCGACATGAGTCACATCAGCTTCCCTTTTGTTAACCCCTTTCACTGGTGGCCCAGATACCCCTTCTTTCTGGTTTAAATGGGAAGAAATTATGAGTCACCTGCCTGGAAATTAAGTCCCATTAGACTTATTTGACTAGCTCAGGAGGAAAGTAAGACCATGCTGAATCTCAGCAGATCCATAGAGGAAGGGCTTGAAAGACCCTAAAGGTAACAGAGAGGTTTTCATGGTCAAGTAATATCATTATATTAACTTTTTTCACTCTGGTGTGAAAAGTGTTCACCTGGCATCATTTTCAAATATCGGGCACTACAGTGGGACCAGGGAGGCTTTTGTGTATTAGCACCAACACATGTGGTTCGTTCTCCATATCATGTAACACCAAAGTAACCATCTGTCTATGTGAGCCTACAGCCAGATTGAAACTGTTTGGTTCACATCTTGTTTTTCTTATTGTATTTAAGAATAGAGTACTTTACTGCAATTAAATATAATTCCTCACCCTCAATAAAACACCAAGAAATCAAAATATAGCAAGTTTGTTGATGTCTAAAGGTTATACATTTATACACTAATGGTAGAAAATATAAAAGCTTTTACAATAACCTTATGAACAGTTATTACACAAAAATACCATACTGTTGATAAGAATTATGTATGTATACAGTAATATAAATACTTAGATTGTTTCATTATCAATTTTTTTTTGTTTTTACATTTGGCAAATCTGGAGGAAAGATAGAGTGAATATTTTATTTTTACTTCATGGGTTTAAATAAGACAAATGTTTTGGATTTACTTCAGACATTTTAGTTTTTAAGTGTGTGCTTTAAAGTCACTGATCCCTCTGACCAATTAATCTGAATTTATAATGAGTTACAAAAGATCGACAAGATTTTTTTCCTGGAAAATAGTGTCTTCCAGATGAGGAAGAGGTAGTCTTCAGTAATCTCCCAGCACTGCAAATCATTTTACATCTGTCTTCTCAGACACCACAGAAATTTTGCAGAAACACTCAGACTATTGAAACATTTCACAGCAGACTTACAGATTTCACAGTACTTGTAACTGACGGAGAATTAAGATGTATTTTTAGCTTTATAACAGGAGAAAGCATATTATTTAGTTAGTAGTCTTTGCAGATGTATGTTATACATCCAAGTAATTGTCTCTAAATTACAGATTCCTAGGTATTGCTATTTAGTGAGCATCTGATCATCAAAACCATGTTAAATTCACAAGCAAGAATTTCTTATAAAGCTACAGTTAATACGAAATAATGTGTTCATGCTATTGCAAAAAGGATATATGATTGTTAACATAACTTAGGTTTGAGTTTTGAGGTTTGTGTTCCTATGCCTTTAATCAATTTTTAGGTCTGTAGTGTTTATGATTACATGTAAAGATCATCATATCGTGTGTGCCATCCTGTTGTAATTGGAAGTGATTAAGTTCTCTTATGTAGACTGATTAGGTGATGTGCAGACTAAAATTTTTAAGATTATAATAACTCTATTTCATGTTGTAGGAGATCAGCTGGTTTGATGATCCTAAAAATAACACTGGAGCATTAATTACAAGACTTGCTAGTGATGCCTCACAAGTGAAAGGAGTAAGTAGCAGGCACTGATATTTTTAAGATCTGGTTTAACATGGGGTAAGTTTCAGACTGGATTCGATAGGTAGAAATCCTGCACACAAAGTCATCTGGAAGCTGTTATCATTTATTAAATTATTATGTATTAAATATTAATTATTTTGGTGTCACAAAAATTAAATATCATAACAGTAGGTAAGATATACATTTAATTAATATATATCTATATATTTGCTTTTAGTTCATACTACTGTTCAGATCTGTTATCACTAGTATAAATGAGTCATCCAAGGAGTCTATTTATTTATCCAACCTGTTTAGATGTCTAGACAGCATTGCGTTTCCATGTTAAATGTTACAAATATTAATAAAATATCTAAGTGTATGGGTCAAAATGAGGATTGTTCTCATTGCAGCACTGTGTTTGCTCACGTGCTTAAAGTTATAAGTGGTCAGAGAGGAAAAAATGGTCTTGGACTCCAAGTTAGTAAATGTCATGTTTCAGGAGATCTGACAAGTTTAAAGTTGTGGTTCTATGTATAAAAAATAAGAGGTTTTTGAGATGTGTTTTCTTGGGCAAAACCTGAAAACAAAGGCTGTAAGTCTTTAAGTTACTATAAGTGAATAGATGGAAACAGAGGAGGAAGACAAGGTAAGATACAGAAGATTTGAGGGAATATTCTGTACAATAGGATGTTTTTTTTTTCAAAAGATAAAGCGTCCAGTCCTGCAGAATATTTAGACCAAATTAAGCACTTTCAGATGTCCTCTGGTGAATAAATCTCAATTGTCTAGGTAACAAATATTTCCTGCCTAGTTTTCAAATAAAACAATGGTTTCATTCTTTTCCAGGCTACAGGTTCCAGACTGGCACTAATTGCCCAAAATGTAGCTAATCTTGGGATGGGGATTGTTTTGTCATTGATCCATGGCTGGCAGCTGACTCTTCTGCTTTTAGCCATTGTGCCAATTATTGCTGTAACAGGAATGATTCAAATGAAGATGCTTGCAGGACATGCAAAAAAAGATAAAAAGGAACTGGAAATCGCAGGAAGGGTAGGTTCAGTGGTGTTTTTGTCTGGTTTTATGTTGTACTACACAGTGTTGTTTGATAGGGACGTTGGTGATGGATCAAGAATATACTCCTCAAAGAAGTAAAAGTCTGCATTGTTGTACTGCTTTAACAACATGGTATTATATCAAATATGAAGCTGAAAATTGAAAATGTGCATTATTAATTTATGTTCTCAAATAGTTAGTAGCACTCAGAGTGGTTTGTTTTTTAAAAAAGTCCTGGGTCTCTCACACTTGTCCCAATTCTGCATTCAAGTTCCCTATTCTTTCCCAGCACTCTGTTTTTTTTCCTTTTCTTCATTTCTTTCCAACTTTTTTCCTTTCAGTGCGCCTTTCTTCTACCTGTCACATCTCTTTCTCTCACCTTGCAACTGTCTGTGGGCTTAGTACAAAAAGGCACGATATAAAACCCATCCACATTAGCAAGGATGCATGAAAACATTGCAGTGACAGTGTAGCTGATGGCGCCTCGCAATCCCTTGCTCTGATGTTCATTCATTTCCCTCTCAGCTGGGAAGGGAAGCAGGAGCCTGGGAATCTGCTTCAAAGGAAAATGTGAATGTGGCAGCAAAGGGAGAGGGTGTTACTTCATTTCATAACTTTGAGGAGAACCGTTTTCTCACTTCCTAAGATGTGCTGTCTCAGGACAGACTGTGCTTTGTGGGGACCGGGTTTCTGACACCCCCCAAGCAGTACAGCACCTGTTATCTTTCCTTCTGCTCTTTCCTTCCCTCCCATTACACTGTGGTCAGTTATGGAGTCTAGGCACAGCAAATTTTATCCTCTCTTTCCATTACCTATATTAGGAAAGTTTCTCAGAGGCATTTTGTGCCTCCAGGCTGATTAGAAAATGGGTTTGGGTGTTTACTCCTAGCCCTTTTCACACTAAAATAAAAAGAAAGGAAATTTCTCTTGGCTTTGTCTGCCAGGCATTTTGGTATAAATCTACATAGCAATGATTCATTCTAAGGCCAAATCCCAAGGCATCCATAGAATGTTGTTGTCCTCTGCCACATGTAAATGAGTATTCTCTAATAATATTTTTTCCCAGTAAAAATATAACAAATAGTTAAGAAAATTCAAGGGAATTAACTCATCTTTTATGTATCATGACTTCTACAACACTTTTCAGCTGAGGCTTACAGTACAACTTTTTGAAATAAGTATCCAGTGCAATCATTGTATGATCTGGAAGGAAACGTAGAAAGTAGATAGTCATTTTAGCCCGATCGTACAATGACTGCATTGGTTACCTATCAGCCTCGGCTGGTAACGGCAGCTGGGAAAAGGCAAGAGAAGGTAATGCAAAGACCAGAAGTCAAACTTGGAAAACTCTGTGAGCCCACAGGTTGGCTGTTATAAAGACAAAGAAACAGTACAAATCAATCGTGCTTCTAAGAAGAGCAAATTCACTGAAGGTTGTTAGTGAGAGAACTGTAAACCTTCTCAGCCTCAAAGCATATTTAAATTGGCTGTGCAGAGAAAAATTTCGTTTAACCTGTCTGTAAAATTATTCTTATCAGTAATACAGCCATAAACAAAACATGATGTTTGTCTTTGTAGGGGAATCAGATAATATTTACATGTAGTTATGTTAGGTTTTCCACATTATTTAATTATTTCAATATCTTATCCCTCATGTTACTTAGTCTGTTGTGTTTCTTATGTGTAGATTGTCTATGAATTTATTCTACTTATTATGTAGAAGTAACGATGTAGAAAGAAGGGTCTGTCAAATACATGGGTATAGTTTAGTTTTTGGAAGTTAGCTCTTGTGTTTAGAGCTGCTAGTCTTTTCCTATTTCTTACTGAGTTGAAGGCTGAAAGTCATGTTTTCTTCCAAGCTGTTTTCTGCACTTACAGTAAAGGCTGATGATTCACAAGCCTAGAGGTGTTTTGTTACACATTAAAATAAGAAGTTAAAAGAGATTTATTTTTAAAATAATGTATGTGTTGAAAAAGAAAAACCAAAGCTGTTCTTCTTTACATGATAGAGTAATCAAGAAAAAATTCAAAATACTGTCACTAACTATTCATAGCATTTTGCCAAACAAGTAACCTTGTTGACTACATTCTTATGTACTGAAATATTTTAAAGTTATCTCATAGTCAAGTTCTCCAGTCATGGTCAAGATCCCCAGTTTCTGGCAAAATTTGAAACATATGTATTTTCATAGCAATTCAGCAAAATGTTTTACTCTCAACATATCAAGCAAACCTGAAGGAAAACAAGTCCCAGGCATCTATTTTTAGCTCTAGGTAAAAAACTGCTCTTCTCTATAAAAGAGGGGTTCTTCCTGCAAAACTGCCTGTGGAGAAATGCCATCTTCACATGATAGATAAAAATCAACTACTCTCATTGAAAAGTAGTGCAGAAGCAACATAGCTAAAAGACAATAAATCTATTTCATGCCTCCTTATGATCAGCAGAATTCATCAACACTTATTTATGGAGTCAATTATGTCCTGGTACAATCCATGAGCACATGATTTGGAGTGGTACAGACACTACAGAGGGCTTCTGTGAAGGCAGTGGGATTCCACAGTGTACAGATCTTACATGGGTGACAATACGTGAGAAAGAATTGAGCTTGACTCCCAGGTCCTAGGTGACTTTCTAGACAGTGGATAATTTTTAATTTTCTTTTCCCATAAAATGAGTATATCACAACTAAATTTTGAGCTGGAATGAGTATAGTGTTCCGTGAATATACTTCACAAAATCACTTCTTAAGATGCTTTACATTTTGAGTTTTGATTCACTGGATTCTTGATCAAGGCTAAATCAACTGTTGTTATTCAAAGACTTGCTGGTGACATTGATTAACTACAAGTAAATCCCCTTAATATTTGGGCAGTATTAAAAAAATTAAGGCATGAACTTCCACTAGTTTTCAGTCAAGATTTGGTATCTAGCATCATTAATAATTTTGGAAAACGTCTAATATTTTTTCTTCTATGGCAAAAAAGGAAGATTTTCAAAGATATAATATTAACAGGAATGAGATGCCAAAATGCCATATGGGCCAGGAAAATCTGTCTCTAAATTTTTAGGAATAGCCAGTGAGTTTGAGTTCTCCTTCAGGAGTTTTGAAAGACTCCTGATTTTCCAAAAATGCTGAGAATGCACCTTGGGAAAGACCATTTCTTTATGGGTGAACTCAAAATCACAAGTTGATTTTGAAAATGTGGGCATGTGTTTACCTTGCAGTTCCAAATACGTTTGCAGGTGATGTAGGTTTGTTCAGTTTATCCTGACTGGGCTCCTGCAGCAATGACAGCTGCATGGTATCATCCTCGTGACTGGTTACACAAGCCTATTGGAAAATAAAATCACGCGCATTGCTGGCCTGTGCTAAATGGTATGCTGACTCAACTTCACTGCTGTAATCCACTCTAATTGGATATATTTAACAGCAGCATATCTACAAATGTTGCAACCACACTTTCAACAGTGTTGTAGACATACTTCTATTGCAGTTATTCTATTTATCATATTATGTTTAAAATTTTCTGTATAATCTTGTTTTTCTGCTGATGAGTACCTGCTGTCCAATACAGATTGCTTCAGAAGCCATAGAAAACATTCGAACTGTTGCTGCTTTGACTCAGGAAAGAAAATTTGAGCTTATGTATGGACAAAGCTTGCAAGCAACACATAGGTAAAAGGATACTTCTTTAAAAAAAGTTATTGAAATATCCCTTTTTAAAATGAACATAGATTAACACCAACAAACTGAATCACAATTTATCTCTGTCAGTGCATCATAAAATCTTCCATAGCAAACTCAGTTTTGACATAAAAAATACAGGTTATCTTTCCCTTCAGGATATTTCCCTTCTTGACATTTTAGGTAACGCTCTAAAGATAAAGTTCTAATGACTTTTTTTTCTTTTCCAAAGTCTCCATGATACTGTTATTAGTCGCTGTAATTCTAGAAATGGAAACCTTTATTAATTCTTGTCCTCACAAACCCTTTCTTTTGAGGGAACCTACTGTTTAACAAACAAAAAGCCAGTTGTCACCTGTATGTTTAGGTAACATTCCTATAAAAATCAGTAGAATTTTCTCAAGGAAGGAACCAGAAAGGTGGACCTGTATAGCAGTTTCTGTATTTGGTCACTCTGCTGTTTTATTGAAGTACTATTGCAGGTTGTCACTTGTTTTAGTTCAATGTAAGATAAAGCACAAAGATCTGTTCTATTGAAGTAATTTCTACTTTGTAGAAATTCTAAAGTTCCCAATGATTTTCCTCATGTGTCAGTTGAAACTCTAAATTGCAAATGTATTATAGTTTTGAAAATAATTTTAATGAATGTATGAGGTGAAGACAATGTAAATTGTATGTGCTCAGAATATTCAGAGTTAAAACAATTTCTTCTTCTATCCCGATAATCTCATCAGTTTTTGCAGACAGGAGACTGAAGGGTACAGGAATGGTGATGTTTTATTTTAGGATCTTACAAAGAGCTGGAGATTATTTTACTTTAAAATACCGAGGACTTGTGAATTCCTTTGAATTATAGAATACTCTTCACATTCTTGACTGCTACAAGTGAATGTACAATTTAGTCATGATTACATGTTTTTTCCATTACAGAAATTCTGTAAAGAAGGCACATATCTTTGGATTTACTTTTGCCTTTACACAAGCTATTATGTACTTTACTTATGCTGGGTGTTTTAGGTTTGGTGCCTATCTAGTGAGAAATGGACATATGAAGTTTAAAGACGTGCTTTTGTAAGTATCTCTTTGCTAGGTTCTTTTTTGTCCATGTGGGAGAATATGTTTTATTTTTCTACAGATATCATGAATCATGGAGAATAGAACAGAAAAAATCAATAAATACTTCCGTCTTCCATTCTTCACCCTTACATTCCCCTTCTTTCCTTACACTATTACAAATCCAAAGTAAGTGATGCTTTTAGAGTGGATTTGGTTACCTACATACAATTTGCATTGTAATCAGGTTGCCCAGGGTAAAAGGAAGGCAACATGAAGGCAGTCAAAGCAAAGCCTTTCCTTGTTTTCATGGCCATCAAGGTTTCTTTAACAACAGAATCACATGGCTTAGCTGTAGGGAGTGTAGGTGTACAATATTAAAAGGTATGTAAGTGGAGCAAGTAATGATTCAAACTGAGGTGGGGAAACTATGAGCCTTGGAACAAGAGAGGTGGAGAGGAGGAGAAAGATTCGGCAAACACCCAATCTGGAAAATACCCAGCCAGAGCTGAAAAAGCTTCTCCAAGTGTTTCTGGAGAATTGTTCCCACTGACTTGCACCTTTCCAACCTTATCTTTCCTTCATCCCTATCTCCAGCATCTAATCAAGTCTTTTGCTTTTCTCCCTGCAGCTGAAATCCCTGTCTGTATTTGTCAATAACCACCTTGTCTCCCATCCACATCCCATGCTTGTTTTCAGCACTTGCCACACTCTTGTCCCTCAAAAAAATGCTGCTGAAGCTAAAGCTGCTTCTTACCCTGATTACAACCCCTTCTCAAATACCAGCATTACCCTCCCTTGCCCTAAGCATTCAAGTGATTCTCTTCTCATGTATCTCCTTTCCTACTGCCCTCTGCTCACCCCAGATTTCATGACCCTTTCTCATCTCCTATTTGCCTTTTGCCTTTTTCTCCTGAAATCAATCATTTCACTGTGCCTGGAAGATGAGGCCATCCAAAGGAAATGTAGAATGGCAAATTTCTCCATAATCCTCAGACTGCTCCACAACTAATACCTTCAATTTTATAGACGAAGAAACTGAGCTGCAAGAACCTATACATCCTGCCACATTAAGAACAGAAACAGATATCAACACATCCATTTCTAATAAATACGAAGTGGGCAAGGAATGGAAGCTTAGAGTGCTACTATCTTCCCTACAAACAAATTACGGATTTTTCTCAGTAAGGCAAAAAGTCACAATTTGCCGTAGACAGCTCTTACCCTACCTCAGCCTTATCAATGAGTATTTATCTGAAGTCCCTAATCTGCCCATAAAAGCTTTTCTTGCCTTTGCCACAACAATGTTACTCTATTTTTCTCCTTTTTATCTTTACAGAGTTTTTTCAGCTATTGTATTTGGTGCAATGGCATTAGGACAAAGCACTTCTTTCACTCCAGACTATGCCAAAGCCAAGATGTCAGCTGCCCACTTGTTCATGCTGTTTGAAAGAGTGCCCTCCATAGACAGTTACAGCGAGGAAGGAGAGAGGCCTGTAAGTAAGCACGGTGTTATGGACAGCATAGCATACTCCTCTAATTTATTTCAAGACTGTTTTTCTTTTTTTTTTCTCCCACCCACATCATAGTTACTGAGTACAAGTACTCTGTGAGCCCATTCACACATGACTCATCTGACCAAATTGGGGTTAAGCTTTGCTTTGTGTGTGCTGCCAAAACCCTACCTGTCTCTTTGATAAAACATCTTAAGAACCAGTGAAAATAGAGTTAGTGCAGCAGAGATAATTTTTGAAGACTTTCTTGCATGAAGCTACCTGAGCATGGATCTTGAACATATAACTAGGCCTCTAATATTTAACCAAACATTTTTGAGGGATAACTTATTTGCAAGTTGTCCATAATAGATTATCACATACTTTAGTAAACAACAATGTATATGAGCATATATGTGCAGGTTGTCTGTCATATAACAGAGGACAGAACGTTCCAGAAAACTATCACATATATATTATAAACACTGTGTTTATTATATTTATATATGTGTATATATGCATATATATATACACACACATAATAAAGGAAAATAGCTGTGAAGTGTTATGAAGTATCATACATTTGAGCTGTTATGTTGATTTGCCATTTGCATATGTCTATATTTACATTTTATCTATACACATTCATATGAATTATATTTCTTCTGTAGACATATATCCATATTACATATATCATATTACATTTTATGATAAATTAATTAGAAAATATCTTTAAGTAGAGGGATTGATTCTGTGCACAGATCAAAAATAGATTATTTTCAGTATCTTTAATGACAAAACGAAAAAAACAACAACTGCAAAGAACATGCCAAGAATCTGAACAAGGTCCTTGCAAAGTAGACAGAAGTCAGCCACCTATAGTTACTGTTACTTTTGAAAATGTAATTTTGTTTAACAGATGGTGTAAGAGAAGCTGTCAGAATTTGTGTTTATGGAACAGAATTTTAATTAAAATATGCCTGCAGAGTAGAATATTTAGGAGAGAATTTGTGTTTTCACAATAGCTTCTCACTATATATTAATTCCTGCAAGTCTGATCCTTTGGAAAAACTTCCACTGATCTCTTTTATGAATGCTCTTCAGAGTCTTTTATGATTTGTTACACTAGCCTAAAAAATTGATCTAACTCTACTGTTTCAATCAGAAAGTATTTGGTGGAAACATAACATTCAACGACGTGGCGTTTAACTATCCAACCCGACCAGAGGCCAAAGTGCTTCAAGGTCTGAATCTAAAAGTAGAGAAGGGACAAACTCTGGCTCTTGTTGGTAGCAGTGGCTGTGGAAAGAGCACTGTTGTTCAGCTGCTGGAGAGATTTTATGATCCTCTCAGTGGAGAAATGGTAAGTGTTCCACATCAAAGTGTAAGTGCAGTTACATGACACATGCTTACTCTATTTTATTAATATAATTAATTTGCCTTTTTTTTTCCTTCTCTCAAATAATCTCATTACATGTTTGCTAGTGTAACTATTCACTTTTGTAAATGTTTGTAATATTTTTTTTTTGCAATATTTTTGAAAATTAAGGGCAGGAATGCATGGATTTTCAATATTTTCTATGCAGTCATGGGGAAAGTAGAAATAAAGTAAAATTTCTGAATTTCCCATGCTGTTTCAAGTTACTAGAACAAGATCCAAGGGAGAGAAGTTGCTACATTGGCCTAACCAGAGACTACTGGTATCACCGAGGTTTAGTTTAATTACACTAAGGACAAATTGTTGGAAATTTAACAGCAGCACTGGTCAGGATAGCCACTGACCTTCATTGCGTCATCACCTAACACGTAAAAACTAAGTAAAGGGAAGAAAGAAATCCTGAAAAGCTCTTCTTGCATCTTGAAGCATCTGGAGGCTGCAGACAGATGTCTCTGCATTCCTAGGACGATTTTGTATTTGCCAAATAAAGCGATCTCATATTTCATGTTTCTTCACTTTTATCTGTATTTCATCCATAGGCAGGGCTTCAGTTCAGAGAATTTGGATCCTTCCTCTAAAAGTTAGAGAAAAAAGTGACCGCCAAACTTCCCAAACCCAGATATCTTTTCCCACCATAGCCCTGAGTCTCTGTGAAAGGCAAAACTGTCATCTGTAGCTCAGACTGAACTGCAGCCTGAAGTACAGACAGCCTCTTGACACATGGAGATGCTGGAGACACCTTTTGGCTGCTTCTCCCTGGAGTTTGTATTTAGTTCCTGATGCCTGCCAATGAGAGAGTGGCCTTGAATGGCGAGATACATTTTCCTGAGGCTAGAAAAAATATTTATTCAGTGCTTAATCATTTAACCGCCTCTATTTATTACATTCTGAGAATAAGAAAAGAGATTCATCTCATTAACCCACAGAGAAAGCAGTTGGAAAGTCAAGTTATTCCTTACAAAGGAGTCCCTAGTCTCATGTGCACACAAACATCATTTTTCTTGTAAAGATAGAAATATTTAGCCTATTATTTTTTAGTTTATCATTGTACTGAGGAATCTAAACCCTGGATTATAGCTCTCTGCAATGTCAGGTGCTGTAGAAAAGAATGAAAAGGTGGTCTGGCCTCCAATAGTGCCACAATGCACACTCAGGAACAGAATGGTGATTTAGTCCACAGCACATCAGTTGTGCTTTAGACAGAAGTCATGACGATAAAGCAGAAATATGGACTGATATTTTATTTTAGACAAAATAAACCTCTGCATAACGGAGACAGTTAAACTTGTAATTGTGGATGCTAATGTCCAGATAAGGTACAGTGGGGAGTTCAAGAGCTGATATATTGAGTTTTACACATGTATCTGATCTTACATGAGCAAGTGGTGGTAGATGACTTTTTCTCACTGATGTACAAGGATGCTATTCAGTTATGGGATTAGGGACTACGGTCCATTACTGTTCCCCATTACTGTCATTTGAGAGGTGAGGACATCTGACTCCCAGATCAGCGTAATAGATGGGATAAAGCTGCTAATAAAGGAAGTAGCTGTGGAAATACTTTGTGGTATGGATCTTCTACTGGTTTCTGAAATAGATCCTTCTGTCACCAGCATAGTACCAAATGTCTCTAATACTGAGAACAAGGTGGCAAAGAGAGTAGATCTGTATATGCTTTTATAGTTAGGATGATAAAAAGTGGGGTGCAATATATAGTGGCTTCATACAGCTGGAGTTTTTCAAGGTTCATAGAGACATCTGGTGTTCTTGTATTGATTGCAAACATAACTAGGCTTTAACACTCATCTCCCCATCTCTGCTGCCATGAATAAGTGCCTAAGTTAACAGACTCAGGGCATGAAGTGGCCTGACTGCCTTGTCTGCTAAAGGCCTTAATGTCCCTGAATTAAAAACAAAGACAAAAAAATAACCCAAACCCCAGCCCTCTATAACATACTATGAATAAAATATATTTTTTTCTGACTTTTTAGCTCCTGGATGGCCAAAATGCAAAGACCCTAAATATCCAGTGGCTGAGAGCTCAGATTGGTATTGTCTCACAAGAACCAATCCTGTTTGACTGCACTATTGCTGAAAACATCGCTTATGGAGATAACAGTCGGGAGGTGTCACATGAGGAGATTGTCAGTGCAGCAATAGAAGCCAATATTCATTCCTTCATTGAATCTCTACCAAAGGTAATTAGACCCTCATTTCCAACTTGCAGTTGGGTAGAAAAAAAACATAGTGCCTATTCATGCTTTCTTATGTAAATACGGGTTAAAAGCATTTATATTTTCATGACTTACTGAATTAAACATTTAAATTCATGTTTTTTCCCCCGCCCCCAGAAGACTCAAAGAACAAGCAGAGATCAAGGAGGTGACAGTGGCTGCAGGCATTTTCTCAGTCCCACTGCTGCAGATGCCTGAATGGGAGGGGTCTTCATTTCTGCAGAAGTGTTTGTTAATAAAATAAACCAGGTGATATTGGCACTCAAGCAAGTCATTCTAAATGGAGCAACAGACTTGCAGAAAACACTGAAAAAGAGTCTAGGCACTTCAGTTAAGTGAAAGCAGCAGGAAAGTGCTAAGGCAGCCCAAAGAGCACTGGTCTTGCCCTCCTTTTTCAACATCTCATTAGCCAGGTGTGTAAAGTGACACACAGAGTTGACTTGGAAAAGCAGATGAACACATCTCCACCCCACTCCCCCACCCCTCCCATCTTGTTCCTGCTTCCTTCTCTCCCTATTTATAACTCCTGTTACCTCCTGGTCACATCTGATGTGACGAGTCACCAGTACAGTGGACCTTCTTGCTACAAAATAAATAGTACCCCCCGTGGGGAAAGCAGTTTCAGGTTTTCTGCATTGGCTGTGAATAACTATGCTAAGAAAAAAAAAAAATCCCCTGAAGTTGATCTGCTGATATCCTGCTGAGCAGCTGCTGGCAGGTGAACGCAAGCAAAGGCTCTTCCCACCTGTTCTGTGAACTGATCTGCTGATGCTAACACCTGCTTGTCAGCTCGCTCTTGTGGAAAATATGGGCTAGGACAAATATTTTTCAGTCAATAAATTCCCACAGGCTAAGGAGGTTGCTGGGCTTTCCCTGCAAAGCCTCGTCTCTTAGATCAGAGATGTACATTTGTTCACACAGCAGGTAACAAACGGAGGAGGCAAAGAAGTGGAATCAAATTTCTTGAGTAAATTTGTGTCAGCTTTAAAATCAGGTGCAAGGCAGATGAGATTTTGAATTTGACTGGCTTCTCATTCATCCTAAATCACTCTCAATGCCTCTCAGGCTGAGTTTTCTCCTTACAGAGAACCGGGGAGGTAAGAGAAGAGCTGACTGCTCAGGCTGCTTGGTGCTGAGTCTTGGGTTCACTCCCGAAAACGTCACAACCTTCCTCTCGCACCCTGCACTCAGCTTCTCTACACCTTGGTCCCCTACCCCAAACCAAGTGATGCTGCTCTTGCTCAACTTCATGGGGTTTGCTCTGCAGTTAAATACACTCAGAAATGTGTTTCTCGGCTCAGCAACTGTATGTAAACTGCTCACCCACTCTTGCCTGGTGACTGGGAAAGGGGCTGCCCCAGACTTGTCACTTAGTGGAAATGCAGTTCAAAAGTCACGCTCCACAGGATTAGGCCCAAATCCAGGTTTACACTTGTGCTTGCTTTCTGTACCTAGAAATACAGCACGCGTGTGGGAGACAAAGGAACTCAGCTCTCTGGTGGTCAGAAGCAACGTGTCGCTATTGCCCGAGCTCTTGTACGGCAGCCCCGCATCCTGCTGTTAGATGAAGCGACCTCTGCACTGGATACAGAAAGTGAAAAGGTATCTTGGCTTTGCAGAGGGAAATGAGGATTTGCAAGTTGGCTGGTCATGACAACAGGAAGCTCTTTTTTTGTGGAAAGCAAAACTTACCCACCCACTATCCCAAAAGCAGTTCAGTATTATCCGTTTTCAAAATAATGTTATTGCAACTTTTGGCATCTTTGTGGCCACAGAGCCCAGAGCAACAGGTGACATTAAAGAATTCATAACCTTCAGAGTATTAAAAAAAAAAAAGGGGAAGGGCTCAAAAGTGTATGTACTAAGTACACCATACTTAGTGCTTAGCGACTAGAATACAAAATTATCCAGCATGTTATTTGATTATACCATGATTTTTACAATGGAATTATTTGGGGGATTAAGTTGTAATTATTTAATGAGCAGGACTGAAAGTTGGAGCAGTCTTCCATGTTGCTGAGAGTGAGAAAGTGCATGGCTTGTCAACAGAGCCACACCAATTTGTTGGGGACAATTTCTAAAACTGACCAACTAAGACCTACCTGCAGCAGTAAAGGAAGGGTTGGGCTGTGACCCTGGAGAAGTTTGCTTGCTCCAACTTCTGGGGCAAGTGAGAACAGGAACACAAACACACCAACAAGCACTGTCTGACCCAGTCATCAGGGGTAACAGTTTTTCACCTCTGAGGCCACAGAAACATTATCTCTGTCATAGATAACTTTACAGATGAGAGACTAGGGCACCACAGGTGGAAACAGCTGCTCTATTTATTTGGTTTTAGTTCACCTTTTGGTTTGTTCATTGCACAGACTGTCCAGGAAGCGCTGGATAAAGCCAGAGAAGGTCGCACCTGCATTGTGATAGCTCACCGCCTCTCCACCATCCAAAATGCTGACAAGATTGCTGTGATCCAAAATGGCAAGGTTGTAGAGCAAGGGACCCATCAGCAGCTCCTGGCTGAAAAAGGCATCTACTATTCTCTGGTCAAAGTTCAAAGTGGATCATGCAATGTGTGACAGTGGGCAGTACCTGTTGCTGAAATGCAGTTGTACAGCTGGTTCAGTCCTTTCAACTTGAGACTATTAAGGATGTTTCACTACTTCTGGTTTTGGTAAAATTCTGTAAATAGCTGTAGTAATCCCATAATTAATAAATATCTGAGGTACATTTGCTTTAAGAACCCAACTCTTCTTCCACCAGCACAAAAATGCATAGTTGCTCGAATGAAAGACTACACAGCAGTCACAGAAAAGCCCCACTGAGTGGCCAAACTGCAAAACAAAGGACTCTGGGTGTGGAGGGTCCCTTCTGTCTTCCAGGGGCTGAGCAGCAGCACCTAGCATGGATGCTCCCAGTGAAGGGATGTGGGTGTGAAAACAGGGGGAGGGTTTGAAGGCAGAGGTATTGGAGACAGAACAGGTCAGTCTTTTGGGGGTAGGGAGAAGCAGAGTGTCCAGCCTAAGGACAGAGGCAAGCTGTTATGTAGAAAAGTGAACCTATTGAAAAAGGGATGAGAGTTCATTCCTCTGTTCAGGTTTCAGGGGTTCTAGTTACAGTCAACCTCTAAAAACACATGTTCTAACTTTGCATTCTTTCTAAACTCCAGTGAGTGATGAGGATTATGGCAGTGAGATGTATGGCAGCAAGAGACCAAAAAAGTTTTCAGAAAAACAGTCTCTGGAAAGAGAGAGAGTAGCTACTGCTTATGCACAAAGATGCCAGCTCTCACCGGCAGAAGGGAAGACAGCAATGTGTTCAACACAGACAGGCCCAAAGCACCATTCCAGGTATGACTGTTTCTAAATAAATGCACATGCAACCCAGAGCAGGGCAAAAAGGAAGCCGGTTGGGATTGGCAACTGGCTCAGTCCCACCCTTGCAGAAATGTGGCTATTCTTGGCTTGCCAGCGGGTGCAGCCAGTATCTGCAACTCCCTGTTTTAGTCTGTGTCTTCAAAGCAAAGAGTGCCTGGCCTATGACAAGGGGACAGCACAGCTTAACCACCCTGACCTGAAATCTGAGCCCCAAATGCCTTGATTACACGTTTTCCCAAATGCACGCAGACAAAAAAAAATAACATCTGGTTAACATTTTATGCTTTTGTGCCACATAGTCCAGAGCATAAACTTATTAGAACAACTTTGAATCAAAAGTGCTTTACAAGAAAATTAACAGAATGTTCATAAATTCATGCATCCACAACACATAACAAGTAGCTCTAACAATTCACGGAATTTAATTTTGTTCTCTCTGGCTACACTTTTGTCTTGAGTTTCACTAGGCAAGGCACAGACTGTCCCAGCTGAACGGGAAATTCTGCTTACACTGGTGACTGAATGATATTTTCTCAGTGATACACTTGCTGAAATAGTTTTCCTTTTTCCTTATTTCTGCCAGGATTTCTATGATCACAGAAATCCCCAGAGGCAGGGGTAGGTGTATGGAAAATAAATGCAAAGTTACACCCCTTCCTTAGATTTCAGGCTGTTTCAAACGAGTGTTCAAAGGAAACTGTCCTTGTCACTGTTGCAACCCGGTTTACTACCCAAATGAGGGGTGAAAAGTTATAACTGTCAGACAGAACTTATTAAAAAAAAAAAAAAAAGGATCAGGCATAGCTTGATTCAAAATCCTAATCTATCTCTCAGAAATCACAGCAGAGGGAAACATGCTTCACTAACTCTTGATTTCAGGAAGTCATTTATCTCCAAGAAAGAGTGGGTTATTATAAGCACTCCAGAACAGGAATGGATTCTTACTGATTGTTGGAAGACCTCAAATCAAACACGAAACAATGAATGGTTGCCAGATTTAATTGAGACAGAACATACAAGTAATCCAATAAAGGCAGTGAGGACAAAGGCTGAAATAATGAGACTGCTTTTTGAGGCAACACACCCTGGTCTGTTACTCAGAGAAGTGTCAGGCTTTGAGGAAGGAAATAAGAAGGGAAACTGTTCTTCCTACTGTAGGAAAAAAATATGCAACAGAGCTTCCAGAGGGCAGACAGACTGGTTCAGTGTTAGCTGAGGATGCAGTTGTTTCTGTAAAACAAACGATAATCTCTGATCTCTCTCAAAACTCCAAAAACCAGAGAAGAGGGAAAACAGTGAATACTTCAGAATCTATTCCAAGTTCATCTGTACCCAGGATCATCTCTCCTTCACAAAGTTTAGTTGCTACACATTAAACAGTCCACCCATAAATCAGTCAATACAAAGCTGATTTTTAGAATAATTTTATTTCTATGACAGGAAAATACAAGGCTGCTCAAACAGAGGAACCAAATCTTGAAATCCTGAGAATTGTATCAAACTGTGTTCAGTGCTTACTTTTATTGTGTATTATTAGTATAAAGCAGCAGACATTGGCAGTTCACTGGAAGATGAAAACTCTGAGAAATTTGGAACTCACATGCCACTTTCTGTCTTTATTATTGAGAACTCCTTTCAAAATACTTCAGATTGTAGTACTCTCATACCACAAATGTAGTGGGAACATGCCCATTCACAGACACAACATTTATTTGGTATAACCCTGATAGCAAAAATGACAGGTAACTTATGAAATAACAGACAGCCTGATGGAAGCAGCCCTTCTATTCCATAAACCACTATGAATAGCAAGCATAATCACTTAAGTGGATAGCGTGGTTACTCTTAAGTATGTAGTTAAGTGCTCCACTGGCATAAACAGTATCAGTAGACTACAAAGTATTTTAAGTGTTACTACTAACATCTTAAATACAAATCTCCCATAAATTCTCCACTTTCAACATCCTGTCTCTTAAGTACGTTTGCATTGTTGAGGCATATTTTAATATGGCATAGTTCTACACAGATAAGGTACTACTGCTTGCATTGTTGTTGCAAATGGCTACATTACTCTTAAATGGGTACTGTTACCACAGTAAATCCCGTAAAAAAAAAAAATAGGTAGACTTCAGAGATCATTAGATGTCTTGACTATAACTACTCTTGAGTAGTATTTCATTTGTAAGTACTACACATAACTTGTCAGATTGCAAAAGCTTTTATATCATTATCAACCTTACAGATGAGCTGCAAGTGTTAATTGTAGCATGTCCTGAAAACACTGAAACACAGTTCTACACAGCACTTCTGCATCAGTCTCTGGACATGATTTCCAAGAAGAACAGGTAGTAACGATCCTGTCAACATAGAAAACAATGAAGGTACCACTCTTAATTGTCACAGTCTAGGATAAGTGTCACACAAATTGTCCCGAAATGTGAAATTATTGACATAAATTCTTAAGCAAAAATTATCACATAAACACACCTTCTCAGCATTCAAAAGGGACTCAGATCCCTAGTGCCTTCAGTAAGCAATAATGTTGACAGATCTTGAGACTAGATACTTTGATTTAAATATCCATTTCTATATATATAGTGACATAACTTTACTCTTACATTTGAAAATACTGTGAACTGTATTTCTTCTCCGCAACTAATTTAAGGTTTAAAGTACTTTTTTTTTTTTTTCAATCTACCTAACAAAAGGTAAATGTTTATCTAGTTCTATTTATCTTAACAGAGCTGTAGATCTAAGTATAAATGGTGTGTATTCTCAAACTGAATCAAATCTGCACACAATCCATATTTAGCTTTAGGAAGAAGTCATCTGAATTACACCGAAATCACAAAACAGAAAGTTACCTCAACCCATTATAATCAAAGTAATTTATTTGATTGGATAAGGAAGAAGTAATTTTTGTCCATTAGACCAATAAGCCAAAGTTGGATCTTTTCAAATCCTACCACCTCAGGAGAAGTGAAGCCAAATGTTTTAGCTTCTCCTTGTTACTCAGCGATCTGGTTTGAGTCAAGAGATGAGTATGTCACTGCCAAGCATGACGGCCAGTGTGCTCACCTGTACTCTATCTGATCTATCTCAGTCAACTGCTACTTTTTAAAAGACACCTTTGCATGTTAGATCTAAATGATCTCTAAAATAAGCTTTTGTTTTAAAGTAAGCTAACGTCTTTTGTTTCTTTGTGTTTTCACCTTTCACACTCTTTTCCTTCTGCTTGCTGTCAGTTACCCTGGTGCTTACTTTACCTCCACTGTTCATCCTTCCTCCTGCACATGCCTTCTCAGAATGTTAATGCCTCTATTCTCATGTACCTCACTTCAACCCTTTCTGACACATTTAGCCATGTTTCTTCTCTTTTTCCTTCCTCATTCTAGTTGTTAGCTGCCTTTCCCTTTGTGACAGACATAGAACCGTGCCCAAAATGAAATTATATCCTTACCTGTCATCTCTGATGGCATAAAAAAAGCCATAGCCATGATGCACCATAGGGAGTGCAGACCCACTGAACCTAGTGTAGCCTGCCAGACTAGTTGAAAGAGTAAAATTCCCACCTCCTCCACTGTAAAACAACACAAAACAAAACCATCACTTTTAAAGATCACTTAAAACAAGGCAAGCTTTACAGAAAGGTTATTTTACCCTAAAGATCAAGAAATCAGCATGCATAAGGCCAACAAAACAAAGTCGTTGGTATCAAAGGATAGAACCCCCCCACAGGACAAGAATTTGAATTACCTAGCTGTGAAGGCATTATCCACATAAAGTTCTGGCACTGGCAGTCCTTGCTCCTGCGCTATGAGTAGGAGACCCAGCAGATGACGATCAAAGCCTGTCAAATAAATGCAAATACTGCATCATTAGCAGCAGCATTTCCCATTTTTCTGCTTCTTCTGGTCTGGACAGCTGGAAGCTCAAATACCAGATGAAGGGCAGATAAATGACAGCCTACTAAAAACCAAAAGTCATATTGTAACATACAAAAACATTTCCCAAATACTTGATCCAAGAGACCATCACCACTTTCAGCTTGCAACACAGCCCAGATAAAAATGAACTAAGTAATATAAACCCAGCACAGTTCCTGCGGAAATCAAAACCCAAGAAAATTTCTATTTCAGCCAAGGAGGAAGAGTTCCACACAAGGAAACTGGTCCACTGGCAATTACATGGACAAGGTGAAAAGGCTTTCAGGGCCACAACTGCCTCGATAACTCAC